GTGAGTCATCCCGGGCTGTGCCGGGGCCGCTTTGCCTGCAACCCAGAAGTTCAGAGTTAAGGAGAAAACAAGGTGTCATCTTGAAAGCTTTCCCGGGGCTTGCTGAGCTGGCTCTTTGTATAGAAAGGCCCCTTCTGCCCGTGGCGGTCACGAGGCAGCACCAGGCACTTTGTGGCCGCCCCAGAGGGCTGCATTTCATTGCTGGGCTCCTCGGAGGCTGGGCTCAGGAGCCACTGTCCAGCCCTGGCCATTTGTGCGGTAGTGCTCACAGGGCAGAGGGTGCGGGGACCCCAGGGAAGAACTCTGGTGGAGGGTCCCCCGCAGACACAGGACAGGGGGCCTTGGTGTCAGTCAGAGTGAAAGCAGGTAAGGATGCCCCTGTGGGTGGCAGAACCCGGTGCCTGGCTGCGACCCTGCGTGGAAAAGCCACGGTGGCTCCAGAAGCATTTCTGGTCTTAGGTGTGGTGACAGTTACCTCCCGGACATCAGTTCAGTGTTGCTTTCTCTCCCCTATGAGCTTTTATTTCCCTTCCTTTTATTTCCACTTCCTTTGAAATTTTTTATTATTTTTTAAAGATTTATTTTTCTATTTGAAAGGCGTGTGTCAGAGAGAGGGAGGGAGGGAGAGAGATCTTCCATTCACTGGTTTACTCCCTAAATGGCCACAACAACCAGGGCTGAAGCCAGGAGCCTAGATCTCCCTCCCCATCTCCCATTTAGGTAACAGAGGCCCAAGGACCTGGGCCACCTGCTGCTGCTCTTTCCCAGGCTCATTAGCAGGGAGCTGGATTGGCAGTGGAGCAGCCGGGACTAGAACCAGCGCTCAGATGGGATGCTGTGTCATAGGCAGCAGCTTAACATGCTGTACCACAATGCCAGCCCTGACCACTTCCTTTTAAAAAGGCATTATCTCCATTAGACAGACTTTTCTAAGAGAGACAGACAAATCCCAGTGTGTAGTTTGACAAGTCGGCTTGCAGTCAGTGCTCATGCCAGCAGCACCCTACTCGTGGTATGGACCATTTCCATCACTCTAGAAAGTTCCCTCAGGCTCCAGGTAACCACTGTTTTCAGTTAAGATAGGCTCATTTGTCCTTTTGAATGTCATGTAAATCAAATCATACAGCGTGTGCTTTCTGGGTCTGGCTTGTTTTGCATAATATAATTTTGGGGAAATTCATTCATGTTGTGGGTATATGTGAGTTTTTAAAATTTTTCTTTATATCCCATTGCATATATATATTTGACAGTTTGCTTACCATTTAAAAATATTTATTTTATTTTCATCTACTTGAAAAGCAGAGCGACAGAGACAGAGACACACAGAGATCTCTTGTCTGCTCATTTACTCCCCCAAGTGCCTACAAAAGCCAGGGCCAGGCTGAAGCCAGGAGCCTGAAACTTCACCCAAGTCTCCCACATTGGTGGCAGGGGCCCAAGTGCTTGGGCCATTATCTGCTGCCTCCCTGGCTGCGTTGGCAGGGAGCTGAAACTGCCCTCTGATACAGGATGCAGATACCCCAAGTGGAGGCTTAGCCCTCTGTGTCGCAGCACCCACCCCTACCAGGTTATCATGGAGAGGGAGAAACCCCACTGGGCTGTCCATTCAGCGTGGTGAATATGCCTGTTCATCTTTGTGTCCATCAGGAACTCCCTGCGCACTAGGCCCTCTGCTATCACCGTGTTGCAGAGATCAATCGGGAGTGGGCAGAGAGGGGCAGGTGCTTGGCCCAGCAGTGAAGATGCTGCTCGGGCCACTCAGATTCCATATCAGAACGCGTGGGTTCAAGTACCATAGGGTTCCTGCTAGTGCACACCCTGGGAAGCTGCAGGTGATGGCTTGGGTAGTTGGTTCCCTGACACCCACGTGGGAGACCTAGCTGGAGTTCCAGGCTCCTGGCTCCAGCTTGGCCCAGCCCCTGCTATTGTGGGCATTTGAAAGAATGAACCATTAGGGGGCTGGTATTGTAGTGTAGCGGATTAAACCACAGCCTGCTGTGCTGGCATCCCATATGGCCACGGGTTCGAGACCCGGCTGCTTCTCTTCTGATCCAGCTCCCTGCTAATGCGCCTAGGAAAGCAGCAGAAGATGGCCCAAGTACTTGGGCCCCTGCACCCACGTGGGAGACCCAGAATAAACTAGCTCTTGGCTTCCACCTGGCTCAGCCCTGGTACCTGTGGCTGTTTGGGGAGAGAACCAGTGGATGGAAGACCTCTCTCTCTGTCTCTCCCTTTCTCTCTCTAACTCTGCTTTTCAAATAAATAAAACAAATCTTTAAAAAACAGAAAGAATCAGTGGATGGAAGATCTCTGTATCTCTACCTTTCAAATAAATAAATAAACGTTAAAGAAGAAGAGGAAATGAGCCGAGAGCACACTGACAATGAAGGGAAAAGGCACAGGCGTGGGAGATGAGCTGACACGCTCTGCTGGTTCAGCGGGTCAGGCTTCCCTCCACCTGGGAGGGCGTCCGGGAGGAGGTGGCTTTGCTTTGAATGCTCAAGGTGGATGGGCTGTAGAATTCTCAGAGACAAGTGTCGGGGCCACATGAACCGCAGTGTGTTTGTCCCATCCTCCTGCCAGGTGGCCAGCCGCCTGTGTGGGGAGGAGGGCTGGGCCAGCCGGGCAGTGAGCAGCACAGCCGGCCTCTTGCTGCCTCTGTTCCTCCTCCCACCGTAGTGCCCTGCAGTGGGGAGCGCATCCCTCCTGGTTGTGGGTCAGGTGGCAGGAGGCACAGCGACACACGGTGACCCTGCGAACAGCGTCTCCGTGTTGGGCTCTGTGTCCCCCTGCCCCCGGGCCGGGGCACCTGACCTTTGCACCTAGTTACAGCCCGGCCTGGCAGAAGGCAAGGCCACTGAATCCGAAGGCGTAGAAACTCTGTCGTAATCTAGCCCAGAAAAACAGAAGTGATTCCTCAGATTTGCAGACGTGCTGGGCCTGTCGCTTTCTCATCCATGCAGCCAGTGCTTGTCCAGTACTCACCGCGTGCTGGGTGGAAGGAGATGAGCAGGATCAGGTTGATGTCTCGGAGGAGCCTGGGGTCTGGAGTGGTGAGACAGGACCATATAAAATATAGACCAGGCTCAGAGGTGGGAGTGGCTGATTATATCAGGGAGTATCCAGAAGGGCTTCACAGAGGAGGCGGCACGCAGGGGTCAGAAGGTCAGAAGGTGAGCAGTAGTTCTGTGTGGACTTGTGAGGGGGTGCATTCCAAGCAGGAGGAAAACCCTGAGCAACTCAGGAAGGAATCCCCCCACCCCGCAGCTGGGAGCAAGAGGTTGAGAGTGGATGTGGGAGAGGGAGTGGGAACAAGAGAGGAGGATGGAGAGTGGATAGGGATGGGTTCTGGCCGGCCTCCTGGTGTGGGATGCCAGGAGTTTCAGCCTTCCCCTGTAGTAGTGAGGACCCCGGAGCGCCTTAGAAAGAACCCCAGAAGCAGTATGCAGGATGGATGGCAGTGGGGGCGGCTGGAGGCAGGGAGCCCAGCTAGGAGGCCACTGTGGACATCCGCTCCAGAGACAGAGCCTGAGATGAGCTGGTGGAAGGGGGTGGAGATGTGTGCTGCAGGCCCTGTCTTCCGTTGGGTGTGGAACTCACAGGGCAGGAAGTAGCTCACCTGGAGTACCTGCAGCATGTGAAGTGTGCCGTGTTAGGCTGAGGGAGAGTTGGACACTGATTCTGCCCAGGGGAACCCAAGGTCCAGCCAGAGCAGCACCCTCGTGGGGCCTGTGTTAGCAGCAGGTGACAGGAACTCAAGTCCAGCCGACTTTGACAAAGCGGGGGGGGGGGGGGGGGACGGGACTAGAGAAAGGGAAAAGAAAGAAGGAGTGGAAGAGAGAGTGTTGGGCTTTTGGTTGTACACTGGAAATTTTCAGCAGGGAGAACTTCAGGCAAGGCTGAATCCAGGTGCCCAAATAGCATCTTTCAGAATTCACCCTTTCTATCATTTCTCATTTTATGTGAACTTCATTTTTTTTCATGACTTTTTATTGTCTTTTTTAAACCTGATACACACAATTATTTTTCTTTACAGCATTCATTTCTAATACATGTAACAATGCTTTCTTTTCTTACAGATTATTTGTTTAATGGTGGGAGCAGCTACTTGTATCTTTTGGGCTTGGGAGCTATGCTTTTATTTTAATAATTTACATTTTTTTAATTGTGGCTAAAACTGCATTTACTGTCCGAGGCGTGTTTAGCGTCCGGCCGAGCAGTGCTGTCTGTATTCGTGTAGTGCAGACTGTGTCATTTTAACACAGGCCTTCCCTGACCTGTCCAGGCTGACCTCCGCTGCCAGCTGAACAGCCCCAGTGCAAAGAGCAACAATATGAGACTGCTTCCCATTGGCCCAGACTGAGTCACGTGTTTACCCATAGCCAATCACAGAGCCCTTCATGATTAGCTCTGGCATCGATGGCCAGAGGCAAAGTGAGTTGCCCTTACTGAAGAAAATCAGGAAGCAAACATGGCAGGTGTCCACTCCAGGAAGGGACAGGGGCACACTGAATGCAGATAAACCTACGTGTGTGGCAGAAATGCATGGTCTGCTTCACTTGGGCTCCTGCCATGTGCAGTGCTGGCCCGGGGTCGGGGCAGTCACCCACGCAGAGTCCAGGGTGAGGGAAGAGCTGCCCATAGATGACCACGATACAGAAGAGGCAGGGGTGAGCACCTGGAGGCTGGGTGCTTTTCTTCTGAGCACTGGAAGGAGGAGGGGTCAGGGGCGGCTTCCTGGGGAGCTGGCCTGGGCAGAGAGGTAGGAGTTGGGTGGGAAATGACCCAGCGTGATGCCTCCTCCCAGCCCATTGCTTGTTCCCGGCCACTGCTAATACCACCACTGCTTTAGCTTCCTCCCTGCCCCTTGCAGACGTCTGCCTCCCGCTGGCTGCCCTACAGCGTGTGTCCCCCTGGAGAGCGCCCCCAGGGCCCATGGGAAGGGCCTGCAGTCGGGGGTCCGCGCAGGGCAGGTCTGAGGGGCTGCCTTCCTCCTGCAGGCCTCTCCTTAGAACGCCTTCCCAACTCCATCGCCTCGCACTACCGCCTGACCGAGAGGGAGGAGGAAGTGATCGCCTGTTTCGAGAGGGCCTCCTGGATCGCTCAGGTGTTCCTGCAGGAATTGGAAAAGGTGAGCTGGGAATAACAGCCCCACGGCGGCAGCTGCCGTCCATGGAACACCTGAAGCCATGGACACCCTACTAAGCCTATAAGTCACCCATGGGCAAATTAGAAACAGGCACCTCCTCCTGCTCCGCCAAGATACCCGCCTTCGTGGGCTGGAGAGCTCACGACAGTGCATGCATTTGGTTAGGAGACTCTCTACTACCAGGAAATAGTTGTGGGTTTTTAATTTTGTAAATATTTATTTTAAAAGGCAGAGTGACAGGGGCTGGCACTGTGGCGCAGCAGGTTAAAGCCCTGGCCTGAAGCGCTGGTTCTAGTCCCGGCTGCTCCTCTTCCAATCCAGCTCTCTGCTGTGGCCTGGAAAAGCAGTAGAAGATGGCCCAAGTCCTTGGGCTCCTGCACCCGCGTGGGAGACATGGAAGAAGTTCCTGGCTCCTGGCTTCGGATCAGCGCAGCTCGGGCCGTTGCGGCCATCTAGGGAGTGAACCAGTGGGTAGAAGACCTCTCTCTCTGTCCCTACCTCTCTCTGTATCTCTGTCTTTAAAAAAAAAAAAAAAGGCAGAGTGACAGAGATCTTCCATCTGCTGGTTCACTCCCCAAATGTCCACAACAGCTCCGGCTGGGCCAGGCTAAAGCCAAGAGCAAGGAACTCCATCTGGGTCTCCCACAGGAGTGGCAGGGATTCAAGCACTTGAGCCATCTTCTTCTACTGCCCAGGCACATTAGCAGGGGGCTGGCTGGGAAGTGGAGCAGCCAGAACTCGACCTGGCAACTAAGCCCAAGTGGTGGCTTAACCCTCTGCTCCCCAACACTCCCAGAAATAATATTAGTAAATAAATACAAATCCATGCTGTGTGTGAGGGACTGGGAAGTCTTTGGTGAGCTCATCTTGCACAACCAAAAGTCCGTCCGTCCATCTGTCCTTTCTCTCTCTCTCTTTCTCCCTCCCTCCCTCCTTCCCTCTCTCTCTCTTTTTCTTTCTTTCTTTCTTTCTTTCTTTCTTTCTTTCTTTCTTTCTTTCTTTCTTTCTTTCTTTCTTTCTTTCTTTCTCTCTCTCTCTTTTTCTCTCACTCTCTCTCTCTCCCTCCCTCCCTCCTTCCCTCTCTTTCTTTTTTTGTCTTTCTCTTTCTCTCTTTCTCCTTCCCTCCCTCCCTGCCTCTCTCTCTCTCTCTCTCTCTCTTTCTTTCAGAGATCATTTATTTGAAAGGCAGAGTTACTGAGAGAGAGAGAGAGAGGGAAAGACACAGAGATCCATCTTCCATCCACTGGTTCACTCCCCAAATGGCTGCAACTGCTGGAGCTGATCTGATCTGGAGCCAGGAGCCAGGAGCTTCACCTGGGTCTCTCATGTGGGTGCAGGGGCCCAAGCACTTGGGCCATCTTCCACTACCTTCCCAGGCCACAACAGGGAGCTGGATTGGAAGTGGAGCAGCTGGGACTTGAACTAGTACCCATACAAGATGCCGGCACCTCAGGCAGAGGCTTAACCTACTGTGCCACAGAGCCGGCCCCCACAGTCCTGTTGCAATCCATGAACTTGTGTCCCCCTCACAACAGCCCTACGAAGCAGAGGTGGTAGTTGTCACTGTTGGGCAGATGAGACTAGAGGGAGCGCATCACTCTCACACTAGAGGGAGCGCATCACTCTCACACGCCCCTGTTGACGGAGTAGAGGCAGGCTGGCATCCTTCCCTGTTCTCGGGAGCTCCTTGCCTGGCCCCTGGGTAGTGAGTGGTCTTAGGCCCATTGTCCAAGCTTTGGGGAGGTGAGCAAAGAGCAGGGCCCTGGTAGTTCTCAGGCCCCTCGTCTCCCAGCTGCCCCAGGCCCTGGATCAGCTGTGTGCAGCGGCTGGATTCCTGGAGGCAGCAGCATCCATGGTAACAGCGGGGGAAGGGGTTGGGGAGGGGGGCCCCAGTCTTTCCACTTTGGAGGGGCTCTTGGATTAATGGGGGAGCACAGGTAACCTGCCCCACACTGAGTACCTACTGTGGTGTCAAGCTCCACTGCGCAAGCTTAATGTGGCCCTGCAGCCAGCCTGCAGGAACCCTTGTGTCAGTGGGATCAGGTAGCCACTGTGGTTATTCCCCTCTTCCAACAAGGAAACTGGTGCTCAGAGAGGCGCCCCAGAGCTTCCTGGGGCTCACACAGCTCATAAGTGGTTTGGGCAAGATCCAGACCCAGGGAGCACGGCCGACTGCCTGTGGGGGAGACACAGGGCCGGGGCTGAGGCCTTCTGCTTGGCAGATGTTGGGCAGGTCCTGGAGCAGCGCAGCTAGGACTGGTGCCCCGAGGGGAAAGGTGGCCACGAGCTGAGAGTCCACGAGACACTGGAGCCTCTCCCACTTTGACCCGTGCCAAAATGTCGGCCCAGCTCCTGGTTTTGTGATGGGCCTTTTTGGGGCATCCACATCAGCCCAGGCCAATTTCCCTAGCACAGCGGTTCTGGCCCCAGCACTGGGGACTTTTGGGGCTGGCTTGTTCTTCGCTGCCCCGTGCACTCCTGGAGGTCTGGCAGCGTTGCTGACCTCTACCCATCAGATGCCAGCAGCACAACTCTGACAGTCCCAAATTGCCGGCCGTCCCCCCGAGCGAGTCCCTCTGCTAGCTTGTACATAAGGAGGAAGGGGGCCGTGATTGAGGGGCCTAGCAAACACAGGGCTGGAGTGCTCTTCCCGTGGGCATGGATGAGCTGGTGTCGGCCAAGGCCGTGAGGATCACCGTGTGACAGCCAGGCTTCACGAGCTCGCCCCACGGGACTCGCATGTGCTTTGGAGAAAACCCATTGCATTCTCAGAAATGCTGCGTTCTCTCCTGCGAGCTGGGCTCTGAGGTTTTAAATCCACTTTATTTTCTGAAAGGTAGGATGAATGGCTCGTTGTTTTTTTTTCCCCCCTAAGATTTTTCGCTTAGCAAGGTGGCATGTGAAGGCAGGCCCGTCTTGGTGGGACTGGGTCGACCCCATCAGTACCAGGGCTCCAGCCATGGCTCACTTAATAACGGAACTGTTCCTGGCCTTTCCTGGAACCAAGGATCTCAGTGCTTGCGATGCTCTGACATTGCCTGCCTGCGTGATAGGGGCGAAGCAGTGCCCAGCCCATAGGAGACACTCAGGTGTTTGTGGGAGCAGTAGACACCACCTGGACTCTGTAGCAAGCCAGATGTGAATCTGCAGTTCATGTCTACACTCACTTTTTAAGGATTTATTTATTTGAAAGGAAGAGTGATACAGAGAAAGGGAGAGAGAGAGAGAGAGAGAAAACGAGATTTCACTCCCCACATGGCTGCAGCAGCCAGGTCGGACCACTCTGAAGCCAGGAGCCCACATGGGTAGCAGGAGCGTGAGTACTGGGTCATTCCCACTGCCCTCCCAGGTGCATTAGCAGCAAGCTGGATCGGAAGTGGAGCAACCTGGACTTGAACCCAGCACTGATATGGATACGGGATGGCCCGTCACAAGCAGCTTAACCTGCTGGGCCACAGTGCTGGTCCCCTGAGGCACTTCCCGATCCTCAGTTTCCCATCTGTAAGACCAGACAAAACCAGTCACGCGGGCTGCTGTGACGCTTAAGCAAGACTTGGGGTTGTGGGGCCTCTTCCGTGCCAGTTTCCTTGCCCCGCTCTTTTTCCTTCCTCGGGGTAGGGGTGCGGGATGTGGGCAGTAGTGGAATTTGAGAGACAGGGCCTGTGCCTGTGGGAGAGGAGATTTTCATATGCAGCAGAACGGGGGTGCTTGGGAAGGGACCTCAGCATGGCCAGCAGCAGACAGGGAAGTCCTCACACGGTAGAGGGAAAGACCGTAGGTGCAGGAGCCTGGCTGCCTGCTTCTGCCACCCACACGCGGCGTCACCCTGGGCCGGGAGGAGAGCCTGTCTGTGCCTCTGTGTTCAGAATTAGATGAACTATTTAAAGCCCTGGGATTGTTGAAGAACTCATGCTCAGTGTGGAGTTCGTGGCCCCCCAACATTTAAGTGGGGACAGAGTGTGTCAGACTTACTTCAGTTAAAGTGAGCTGAGTTTTGCATGCACCGCAGGCCCCGGGGCTGTTGGGCCTGGCAGGAAAGCCTGCTTGCCTGTACCTTGTCTTGGGGCCCCTGGAAGCCCTCAGCTGCCTGAGACCCAAGAACCACGGAGCTGGGACTGGGGTGGTAGCAGGGCCATCCCCACTGGCTGGGCTGACCCCCGCGCTCTGTCCCCTTCCCAGACCACAAGTAATAGCACATCCCGGCATCTGAAAGGCTCTCACCTGGCCGACTACGAGCTCACCTACTTCCTGGAAGCAGCCCTGCAGAGCGCCTACGTGAAGAACCTGAAGAAGGGGTAGGTCCTGGGCAGCCGCTTCTGATGGTGCCCTCAGCCCCACCGCAGAGGCTGTCCCTGGGAGGGGAGGGCCAGGCTCCTGGAAGCCACGGAAGCAATAAAACCAGCAGGTGCTTGGGAGGAAAACTGCTTGGAAGAAGAGCAGGTTTGGCTCTCAGGAGGGGAGGCCGCAGGAGCCTGAGGGGCTGGGGGGCCACGGAGAGGGCCGGGGACAGCTGGTTGGGACAGTCGGGGGGTGTCCACTGGGTCGAGGTGCAGGCCAGGTCGCGTCGCCTCTCTTGGGCTCCTCTGAAATCCAATGGGAAGGCTGATGCCCACTCGTTCTGGCTTCTAAAGGGTGGGGAGGTGTGGTGGAAACGAAGGCCCCACGCCACTTTGGGGTGGGACTGTGAGAAGCTGCAGAACCAGGAGGCTGCTGTCCGTCCATCTGGCTGTGGGCTCCTGGGCGGGGACTGGGGTTTCCTGCCTGCCTCTGCAGCAGAGGTTTTGTCCTTTGCAGACACTGGGCCAGGGCTAGAGGTCATTGGGGCCGGAGAAGGGGACTCAGGTGTGCCAAGTGCCGTCCCCATGCGCGGGAGGCTCATCACTCCCCCACCCCACCTTTCTCTGCCTCCCCTCACTGGTATGTGGGGGGTGAGGGAGGCCCTGGGTCAGGATCACACAGCTTTCTGGAATTCTCTGAGGGCTAACTGTCCTTTTTGGTGTGACTTAGCTATTGAATTTCACTTATGCTGTCTTTCCCACGGAGCTGTGTTTGAATAGGTGGGTCTTGCATGAGACAACTGTTGAGCCAGACAAAACAAACTTAGTGTTTTCTCCTACCCTCTGCTCAGTATACAGCACAGACTGCTGCTGTGACCCGTGGCCTGGGGTTCCTCCCCACCCACAGCCTCCAGCCCCAGCAGGTGGTCCTACCACCCAATTCAGTTCTGACATGAACTGGTAAGCTAGCGTTAGGGAAGACCCCACAGGCTCGGTCCTGTAAGACTGTTGCTCCCTCCCCCAACTCTACCCTGCCGTTCAGACACAAGTGTTAGAGGTCCCAGATTGCACATGGCTTCTGTCTGACTTGGCTACAAATCAGAGGTGCCATGACCCCTTGCTTCTCAGGCTCGCTGATTTGATGGTGCAGCGGAGCCGTCCAGGACACGGAGTGGGGCGAGGGCGTGAGGCTTCCATGCCCTTGCTGAGTGTGACGCCTTGCACGCCGCTGCAAAGTCCTCCGACCCCTGTGCTCCAGGGCTCTGTGGCGGTGTCGTTGTGGCCATGACTGAGGACATCATTGGCCATTGGTCATCAGCTCAACCCTCAGCTGGCTCTGGCCCTTTACAGAAAACACTTGACAAGCCCTGCTGTTGATAATCACTGTTAACAGGTTGACATTATGTCTTCCATGTCTTCTGTGATCAAGTGTAGATAAACAGATACATTTTTTCCTCTCTTTTTCTAAGCAATCAAAAGTAGCTCCCCATAGTCCAGGCTGCGTGGAGCCTGCCTCTTCCACTCAGGGCTCTTTGAGCAGGGGTGGGGGTGGAGGATGAGGACCACGCCTGCCTCGTGGCATCACTGTGATATCAAGTCACCCAGAAGCACCCGCCGCCTCACAGCTGCTCAGGGCGTTGTTTATTGGTATTATTTTTCATGCTGTCCACAGCAAAACAGGCTGTGGCCCCAAACATGAACTTGACACCTTCCAGGCCAGGGACAGTCTGGTGTCCCCATTCGGGACATGTGGATCAGGAGGCCCAGGGAGCCAAGGAGGCCCACCCCCAGGGTGGGCCTGGCATGGCCCTGGGCTCCTGAGACCACCTGCACCTGTGGAGGAGTCCTGCACAGAGCACCAAGGAGCACCGTGGCCTCCGCTCCACCCCCACAGCTACTGTTTTGGTGTCTTTGCCATTGCGAGCTGGTTCCTGTTTGCATCGCCAGGCAGCTCTCCCTGGAGACTACCATTGCCCTTGCTTTGCTGTGCCTGGGGCCGCTGCCTAGAGCCCCCTCCTCTTGGGAACCCTTTCACTGGCCATGAATCTGGGGCACATGAAGAGGTGTCACCCTTGGCTCCCAGCTGCAGAGGCTGGAAGGAGGGGCCCGGGTCGGATCTGCAGCTTGTCAGCACCTCAGGGAGTACAGAGGGAGCCTGTAGAGCAGGATCAGCTGCAGCTTACAAAACATCGCTGCCCGCTCGTGGCCATGGTGTCTTGGCGGAGGGGAGGAGCTGCAGTTGAGCCCTCCGGTGGACCCACAACCTTTGCTGTCTTTTTTTGCCCTCTATGGCCAACAGCTTGTTGGCCACCTGCTCTGCAGAGTTTAAGGGGGTCCTCTCGCCCAGGACCCTTGTAGGGCACAGAAGCTGTTCTTGTACATGAGGAGAATTTGGAGATGGTTCTCATTTCAGTATTTCCTCTCTTTCATGCATTCAACTAACAAATATGCATTCGAATCATGCAGGCTGCATATTAAGTCCTGAATTTGCACCAGGCCTTGTAATAACTTAGCTCACATGTGTTTGTTCTCCCAGCAGTCTGCTGAGGTAGGTGCTGTGATTAGCAGGGGGGAAACTGAGGCACAGGGAGCAAGAGTGACATGTGCTGGATGGGGCCAGGGCTGTGCAGGCGGGGCCCTTGTGACTCAGCACTGGCACCCTTCACCACCAGGCTGCACTGCCTGGAGCTAAGCGTAGCGTTGGTCCCCTCAGTCTGCTCACGCTTGGCAGGTGCCATGTCCCAGTGTCTGGTATGGCAAGTTTGATGTCCTTGCCACCTGGAGGATGTCGGTGGAGGGCCTGGGAGTTGGAGGCCACCACATGGCCCTGGGCAGGTTCCTCCTCCATTCTTCCTCTACTCAGTTTCTAAGATGGGGCTTCTGTTTGTCCTGTGCCCCAGGGGTGTGTGATGGCCCTGGAGAAGACAGCCTGGGCAGCTCTGGAAAGCCACGTCAGGGGCTACAGAGCCACTTCCTGCCGGTTAGATCCAAGCCGGGGGGCGGGGGGGGGGACCTTGCCCGGCACTCAGGGAGCTCACAGCTCCTCCGGGGGAACGGGCCTGAGGTGAGGACACCCCCAGTTCATTTCCCAGCCAGCCCGAATGCCCACAAGGGGCCAGGCCCGCCCCTGCTGCTGAGGCTCCCTCCCCTGATGGTAGTTGTACCCCAAAGGGGAGCCGATGGATAAGGTCTGGCCGTGCTCCGTGCTAGGGAGGAGGAGGGGGAGGATGCCTGGAGGGGTGCTGCCTGTGAGAGGGTGGCCCCTGCCAGCAGCTGAGCACAGTGCCGGGGAGGAGTGGCGGGGCAGGACCCCGGGCTGCAGAGCTCCCTGGAACCCCTGCTGAGCCTAGGCCAGGGCCACAAGCAGCGCCTGCCCAGCGTCCAGCCTGAACACAGTTCCAGGAGCGTGGTATCATCCATTGTGCAGAGTGGGTGGCCTTGGCTGCGATGCCCTCCTTCTGAGCTTGGGGCAGCCTGAGCCTCCCGCCTTCTGGCTCAGCCTGAGACGCTGCCCTGTTTCATCTGTGTTCCCCGGGGGCATTCCTTTCTTCCGAGGGCCTTGCCCTATTGACCCAGCAGGTTCATTCTCACGGATGACTCCTGCCTCTTGCTCTGTGGCTGATGACAGGGCTTCTCACTGAGCCAGCGCCAACTGCACCTCCCTGAGGCCTCCGCGTCCCCTCGCTGCCACTAGAGGGCAGCCGTGGACTCTGGTTGGAGCCTAGGCCCAGGCAGTCCTGAAGCCATGGGGCTGCCAGGAGGGGGCGCTTTTCTGACGGTTCTGGAGGCGAGGCCCGGGCAATGGCAGGTAGACCTGGGGCTTGGCTGTAGGGGAGGGGGGAGGCGTCTGAGAGGAGCTTTGTTCCCTGCCCGCCCCAGCAGCCCGAGGGCGAAGCTGGGGAGATCCGGATACAGACTGTCTGGTTCCCCTGGGAACTGCTCATCCCTGTCAGTGGCTCTGACCTCGTGAGAACCCAATGCCTGGTCACCACCCAAGACCAAGGTCTGGAGCCAACCCTGCGCCTTCACCCAGAGCAGGCAAGGGGCCATTTCTCTCTGGATCGTTCTTTTCCCCCTCCTTGTGCCTGGCCCTGGCAGAATGCTCTCTTCGCTCGGGGCTGGGAGTGAGTGTGCACTGAACCAGGTGGGGTGTGGTGGGGTGTGTGTATCATGCTTGTTCTTTTGAAAAGAGATTTTTTTTAATTGCTATAGCCACATGTGTTCACTGTACCCAAATCAAACAGAGGGGAAGGGAATGTGTGTGTTCTAAGGGAGTTCCCAGGCTTGGCAGGTGTGCGGTCCCGTGTAGCCTGGCTCGCTCTCTCTCCCCCACTCCCCCTGTGTATGTATGATTGCACACTTCACTCGTGCCAGGTGGGTGTTGCAGTGAAGGGGCATGAAGCATAGATAACGCAGCCTGCTGTTCGGTGTGGCCCCTGTGGGGCATGCATTCTGTGAGCTGCGATTCTGTTCTCAGCCACCTCGAACCCAGAGGGCTGGGAAGGGCAAGGGACAGAGCCCCCTGCCGTGAGCCTCCTGGCGTTCTGTGTGCTGTGCAAGGCCCAGTGCAGCCTCTCCTAACGCACAGCCTCTTCTTAGGAGCGGCCCCTCCTCGATCTTTGCCGCCTCACTGGAAAGGAAGGAAGGAGCCCGTTGCCGGGGCATCGTCCCTGCCTTCCTCCGGGCTGGAGGCGAGGAGGAGAGTCCTAGTTCCTGAAGCAGACGATCTGGGGCTGCGGCAGGAGTGAGCAGCTTGATGAGAGCTGGAAATTCCCCCAGCCTGTCCCCTGATTCAGCCCTCCAGCCATCGGGTCTGGCGACTGGCTGTGCCCCTCCGGGAACCCCTCAAACCCAGTGGGCGGGGCCAGCCCTGCCTCTGTTCTGCCTCGTGTGCAGCTGTGTCTGTTTGGGTTCCATTCAGTGTCAGTTCCACTGCAGTTTCTCATTTTCTCTTTCAATCAAACCCACCTCTCTAGAAAAATACCTGCCAAGCACTTATGTTGTGCAAAACACGTTGCTCAGTGCCGAGTGAGCCAGCACCGTGGCTTCGCTAACAGACCGGGCTCCTTCCGTGCAGGCCTATGGGTAAGAGAGCCACTCACTCATCCAGTCTCTTCATTTCATTTCTTGCACCAGTGTTTATTGAATGCCTCTTAGGACAGGGCTGCAGACCAGGCACTTGGTATGCAGTGAGTGCTTTGAAAAGACTTAGTAAGTTGAGCCCCAGGAATTCTGGGGTTCGGATGACCAGGAGAGGAGAGTGTAGCTGTGCCAGGTCTACGGGCAGACACTGTCTGTCTCGGGGTGGAAGGAGTCACACCAGAACCCTGCGCTGCCTGCGGAAGCCAGCTTCTCCCCGTGGCTCAGTGGTGGCCTGGAAAGGCGGGCACCTGCCAGGCTTTGGTTTTCCTGTTGGAAAAGGGCAGTGCCTGTGTTCTCCCATGATTTCTTGAGAGCCTTCTGGGCACCACACATTGGGCTGTGCTTGTTAGGATAGCAAAGCCTGCCGGCAGCCCCCAGCTCATCAGAAGCTGCAAGGACTGAGCCCAGCAAAAGGCTTTGACAAACTGTGCACCGCTGTACGCTGCTGCTGAGGGCTCGCCGTCCCGTGCACGGCCCACCTACAGGCCTCCCTGAGACCAGCCGTCGCCCTTCACCCGTCACTACACATCTTCCTCTGTGTGTGTGTGTGTGTGTGTGTGTTCTTGGCCAATCAGGCTTTACTTTAGTTGGAATAAACGGCTTCCTGGCTTCTCCCCACGCAGCCCATTTCTGGGCCAGGGTTTGTTTGAGGCCCTGCTTGGATATTGTTGTAAGTGGGCAGCTTTGCTCAGAAAGGTCAGCAGGAGAGATGAGAACAAAGAGGTCTTTCAAACTGGCCTTTCCTGGGGCAGCCAGAAACGGCTTGGAAGAGCCCAGGTCCTACCTGGCACGGGCGGCTGGAGCGCTGGGCTGGGATCTCTCAGGCCTGCGGCCATCTGGGGAGCCCTGGAGAAGGCCCATCTGGTTTCTCGCTTCTCAGCAGGGTAAGCCGAGGCACAGGGGCTTCCCCAGCACTGCGGAGCAGGACAGCGTCAGCTGGGAGCCCACACCTGCCCCGTGCAGCCCAGCCCCTGGCCCCTCTGTGCGGGGTCCTCTCTGCAAAGGCGCGCAATGTAAACAGAGGTGGACTCAGAACATGCCTGCGGATGCCTCTTTGCTTTGCTAAGGATTCCTGGGAGCTGAGTTAGATGCCAAAATCCCTTACCAGTTTGGAAATACTAAAAAGATGATATTTGAGACCCAGGATCTCATTCAGACCTGCGGATTCCTTCGTGTGTATGAGTGTGTGCATGTGAGTGTGTGTGTTTGTGTATGAGTGTGTGTATTTGTGTGTGTGTATGAGTGTGTTTGTGTATGAGTGTCTGTGTATGAGTGTGTATGTCTGTATGAGTGTGTGTATGAGTGTGTGTTTGTGTATGAGTGTGTGTGTATGAGTGTGTTTGTGTATCAGTGTCTATGTATGAGTGTGTGTATGTATGAGTGTGTGTGTTTGTGTATGAGTGTGTGTATGAGTGTGTGTGTATTTGTGTGTGTGTATGAGTGTCTCTGTGTATGAGTGTGTTTGTGTATGAGTGTGTGTGTATGAGTGTGTTTGTGTATGAGTGTGTGTGTGTGTGTGTGTGTGGTGGAGCATGGGGTCCCTGGGAGTCCGTGTTTCTCTGAGTCCCCAGGTTTTTCTCATCTGCTGCTCCAGGACTGTTGGCCATGTAGAGACCAAAGGCTGAGCGTGTCCGGCAGTGACACAGAGGACAGTCCTCGTGGGTGGGCTGGTAGGAGGAGAGGGGACTGTGGCCATTCTGTGCCCTGGCTCCTGGTAGCAGCTGGGCCAGGCTGGCAGGGAGGAGGCCAGGCTGGCAGGTGGCCTGCAGAGTGGAAAATCCCCCACTGGCCCAGGAGCTGCCAGCTTCATCTGAGCCACTGGGCCCAGGCGGCCTTGGGCCCAGCCCACCTCAGCAGAGTTCTGGTGCAGTGTGGGTTCTGGCCATTGCCTCTGTTTCCTGGTGGCTCACACACTCTGGGTCTTGAAGCTGTCCTGACCATGGCTGGTGCCAGGCTGTCCCCTCAGCTGAGCTGGCCTGGCCTGTTGCTTACTGTGCAGCTCTGAGGCAGAGGCCTTGGTGGGACAGACAAGCCCCTGCTGAAGGCCCCTCCTCCTCCTGGGGCCTGTGGGTCATAGGTCCCCTGTGGGGTCAGGCTGGTAGAAGAAAGAAGGACACAAACTTCAGGGTCCACTCGGGCACCCTGTGCCTCTCATGTAACATAAGGTGCATTAAAATGTGAGTCCCATGGTCTTAAGAGCCAGAATAGGAGGAGAAAGGGCAGTGGTGTTTACTGAGCCCCTGCCACCCACCGAGTGTGCTTGGGGCCGCAGGTGCATCATCTCCATGGAAGCACCGTGAGGAAAGTCGGGAGACCAAGACTTGGAGTACAGTTTGAGGATCTGGCGTCAGAGCACCTGTCTCCGTGGTCTGTTGTCTCTTCTGAAACCTGGCTTCTCAGACTAGAACAGGAAGACACTGGGGCAGGGTGGGGAGGGAGCTAAACCAGTGGTTCCCAAACTGGGGTGTCCAGTGGAACCCCCTGGGGACTTGGGAAGGGCTGCATTGCTGGGCCCCACCCCAGAGTTTCACATGAGCAGGTCTGGTTGGGGGCTCAGAACAGGTGTTCTGGCCTAAACCATCATTGGTCCCAGGTGAGATGAGTACCTCTTGTGATACACAGGTGGTTTTAAGTGATGCAGACATTGACTTTTGAGAAAGACTTCCGTGTTTAATATCAGCTGGCAAAAAGTAACCACATCAAGGCCATGCATGATGTCAGGTATTTGTGACTAAGGTAAGATATCTACCCAAGGAGAAAGACATAAAAACGTTGCATCCGTAACGCAGGAGATGTGCCATGCGTGGTGGACAACATGAAGGTGGGATTCAGACCCAGATGCCCGGGGCCACTTCCCAGACGAGGAGTCCTCGGCCCGCAGAGGTGAACTGCTTCCCTGGGCCGCAGGGCAGCAACAATGCCTGCACCGAACCACCTCTGAGGGGCTGAGGTTCTTGTTGTCTCACCACTCCCAACTTCGTCATGGCCCTGGACAGGCTAGGGAAAGGCACTGTGACTCCGACCCTAAACTAAGGGGCATTGTCTCCATTCTCAGCCCTAAAGCCAAGCACCTATGCTTATAATGTTGGTAGCTGCACACTTCTGGCTTTCGTTTCTGAAGCCAGAGCTTCTTGGAAGGCGACGGTCTTGATCTGAAAACTTGTCCTGCTGTGGCTCCGGGGTCCCTGAGCCCCCAGGAAGCCACGTGGAAGGAGTTCTTGGGGTCTGGGGAGAGGGTGGGGCACTGGAGGGGCCAGGAGGATCCAGCTGGCTTCTGTGAGTCAGCGGCCCCCAGAGAGGCCTTGGGGACAGCTTTGCAGGCTGCAGGCCACAGCGCATTAGTGGTTACCAGATCGATGGGCTGCAGCCAGCACTTTACAAAGTCGGGGTAGCGGGGAGGTAAGGGAGAGGCTGCCTGAGTTGATCGCTCGCAGTAGCGGTCGGTATTGTGTCGGGAAATTTCCCCCAGTCTTCTGTAGGGGAAGTATGTACTGAGTTGCAATGTGAGTTTTCATTGTGGATAACACTGCAAAAAGCCTGGAATTATGGCGACGCACAGAGAGCTGCCTGGAGCGGGTGAGCCTGGGCCCCGGGGCGATGCAGGCCTGTAGGAAGCCCTGGTAGTAATGACCAGGAGGACAGGGTGGATTCCGGAGTTGACCGGATGCAGCCAGCGATGGGGGAAGACTTGAGGTTCTTGGGCGGAGATGACACCTTATTTGCTGTACACGGTCTTGGTATGAACCGGAAGCCCAAGGCTCTTTGGTGATGTCCCGTACTTGAGGCCGCTGGTGCGGCAGTTCTGACCTCTCATTCTAATGACTGAAGGGCTCGCCTAGGGCTCCTCCCAGGGTACATGGCTTGAGTGCAGGTGTCTTAGCGGGAGCTGGACTGCTAAGGCCCCTGCTCCTGCTGGCCTCCCCACAGGAACATCGTGAAGGGCATGAGAGAGCTCCGGGAGGTTCTACGCATGGTGGAGACCAAAGCCACGCAGAACTTCAAAGTGGTAATGTGGGGGCGGGGGGCACTCCAGGCAGAAGTCCTAGCAGGTGACCCCTGCGTGCTCCTCCCCCCTTCGTGGCAGACATTGCTAATCGAGCTCAGCATCCTTCTCCCCACAGCCTCGCAGACAGCGCCTAGCATTAGATCGGATTTAAAATCTACTGCCAGCCCTTCCCAGAGCCAAACGGTATCCTAGCAAGGTGGATGCTAACTCTTAGGGATCTGTTTATGATCCTAAGAATAACACTGGCTCTGCTTTCCTGCCCCAGCCCAGGCCTGCCTTCCTAGGCCTTAACTTCATCCAAAATCAGAGCCACCAGCTGCTTCTCCCACACAAGTTCTCGGTCAGGGATCAGAGAGGCATCTGGTGGAGAGAGCCAGGAGCCTGCAAGAGCCTGCTGAGTCCCGAGAGCTATGCCGGCCTCCCTTATCTGGGAGATGGGGAGACGAAAGCTGAAGCCAGGGTCAGCAGACGGTGGGGAAGCCCCACGCAGGAGGGGCCTACAGAAATGAGCAGACCCCATGGGAGTGGAGCCATGGGGGCTGCTCTGAGGGGCTGCACACCACAAGGAGGCAGATTCAGCTGGAGGTGGGCAGAGGGTGTGTGAGGACGTTCAGGGAAGGCTGGCACACATGCCTGAGTGTGAGTCCCCTACTGTCTGCCAGGTGGCGGCCAAGCACCTGGCGGGGGTCCTGCTGCACTCCCTGAGTGAGGAGTGCTACTGGAACCCCCTGTCCTACCCTCTGCCTGAGTTCATGAACAAGGAGGAGAACGCCTTCGTCACACAGGCCCTGCGGAGACCGCAGCTCTACGAAGGAGACAAGTAAGTTTTGCCTGCCTCGTGGGGCCACACCTGGGCAGGGGGGCTTGCTGGTGGCTGCTCTCTCAGACCTGCACCTGCACCCAACCCACTGCCTGGCAGGCTCCCTAGGATCCAGGGGGCCAAGGAGATGAGAGAAGGAGGCCTCCATGTGGGGATGGCGCAAGGAACCTGCCAGGTACCCATGGCCAAACGATTGTGGGTGCTCCCTGCCTTCCTGGTGGTCTGGCCTGTTGCATCCTGCTCTTGGTGCCGGTCATGGAAGGCAGGATCTGTGGCATCTGCCCTCCTGGCCCCTCGCCCCAGCTCCTTCACACAGTGCTGGGTGCTGGAAGGGGGGGTGTGTGTTTGTCCTGAGCACCTGCAAGATTCCAACCTGGCCACCACTGCCCACTGCAGCCTTTCCGCCCGGTCATTCTGGAGCGCATAAAAGAGCCACAGGTGGCATCCGGTGGCCATGAATTATTCAAGAGAGGGTCACCTTACCAGGGCTGGTGCTGACTCGGGGCAGAGGGCCCATGTGACGGGCCAGGCGCTGTCGGTGCTGGAGCCGGGGCTGCCGTTTGTGTCTTTCAGCCTCTACTGCCCAAAGGATAACATTGAGGAAGCCCTCCTGCTGCTGCTCATCAGCGAGTCCATGGTAAGCCCAGGGTGTGCCTCGGGGCCTCTGGCCCTGGGGGCTAGGGCTGTGGGGCTTGGGTGCGTCCCAGCGATGCCCCCAAAGTGGGAACTTCTTGGCACCACCCCTGCAGGCAGGGAGCGAGTCTGGTTCGCTGGGCTTGGGTTCAGCTGCGTTGGGGGGCCTAGGTTATGTCCCCTAATGGGTGCAGGGTTCCCACCTCCCCTTCTGGGATCACAAAACGTAGTTCTCTGCAAGTCTGTGCCTTCCTCCAGAAGCTCTGTGCCAGGTGCTGGGATAGGGTGGGCGTGGCGGGAGCGCGTGCTGCAGAGGCAGGAGGCCTGCGTGCAGGTTCTGGCTGTGAGGGCCAGTTGTTTTGTGTCTCTGAGCCTCAGTGTCCTCCCCGTAAGATGACGTCACTCACGGAGGTAAGCATGCCCCGTGGAGGGGCTCATATGTCCATGCAACAGCTGTCGACCAAGTCATGCAAACTGCTGTTTATACATTGTTTAAAGATTTTTTATTTATTTGAAAGGCAGAGTTACATAGAGAGAGGGAGAAACAAAGAGAGAGATATTCCATCCACTGGTTTACTCCCCTTAGGGCTGCAACAGCCAGGGATGGGCCAGGCCAAAGCCAGGAGCCAGGATCTCCATTTGTGTTTCCCACCTGAGTGGCAGGAGCCCAAGCATTTTCACAGGTACATTAGCAGGGAGCAGGATCAGAAGTGGAGCAGCTGGGACATGAACCAGCACCCATATGGGATGCTGGTGTTATAAGCAACAGCTTAACTCACAACACCACAATACTGGCCCCGAGACTTTTTTTTTTAAATGATTTTTAAAATTTATTTGAAAGGCAGAGTGATGGGCCAGCGTTGTGACATAGTGGTAAATCTGCCATCTGCAACACCAGCATCCCATATGGGCACTAGTCCATGTCCCAGCTGTTACACTTCTGATCCAGCTCTCTGCTAATAGAGAAAGGCAGCGGAACATGGCCCAAGTGTTTGGGCCCCTGCCATCCATGTGGGAGACCTGCATGAAGCTCCTGGCTCCTGACTTTGGCCTGGTCCATCCCCACCTGTTGTGGCCATCTTGGGAGTGAACCAGTGCATGGAAGATCTCTCAGTGTGTGTGTTTCTCTCTAACTCTGACTTTCAAATAAATAAATAAATCTTTACAAAAAAAAAAAAATCAACACACACACACACACACACAGAGAAAGGGAGAGAGAGAGAATCTTCCATCTACTGGTTCATTCCCCAAGTGGCTGCAACAGCCAGGAACTGTGTGTGACCTACAAAAACAACAGTTTCGTATAGTTCAGTGTAATTCTAATATCTTCCCATCTTACAGATGAGAAAAGCGAGGATCCAGCCAGGAATGTATCTTGGTCCAAGTCACTAACAAGCTTTGCAGCTATGGTTCCAACCGCACACGCCTCCCTAGCTCAGGCCCCTGGATTTGTCTTGGTGCTGTCCCTTGCTAACTTCTCTGATCCTGGTTTTTCTCATCCATATGGGGCCAGGAAGGTCATGTTGAGGATCAGATGCAGCACATGTTGTGGAGGGCTTTGTAACCAGGACATGCCTGTGTGGGCTGGTCATCAGTGTTGGTCCTGGGCAGGGGTTGAGGCTGGGCTCCGTCACCCTAGGCCATCTTCTATGGTCCCAGCTCAGTAGTGGTCCCCAGGACTGAGTTCAGTCCCTTCCCTTGAGGGCACCCTCCACTGAAGCCTGTCTCCAAGCGAAGAATGGCTTTTCCCAATGTGCAGTCCAGGTGAATCTTCCCCAGTATGTTTCCCTCCAGGCGTCTCTCTCCCTTTTGTGAGAGGCAGTGTGGCTGGCTGAACCAGGGATGAGGGCCCCCTCCCGCTCACCAGGCTGTACCCCAGAAACTTCTGCAGCTCATGCAGCCCAGAGACTGCCCGGAGGCTCTTTGCCCAGCGGCTGGGAAGCAGATGCCACCCTGTGGTTGGCTGGTTTGCTCCATCTTTCTCATGCCCATCCCACTGTGAGGAACCCGGGGAGCTTCGGTGCCCTGTGTCCTGATGCCTTTCCTCGTGTTTCCGGGGTCTGGCCTCTTGGCCCGCAGTGGTTTCTCAAACCTGCCTTCCCTCCTGCCTCAGGTTTGCATGCTTCTTTCCCGCCAGCCACTGCACCCTGATCTCACACTTGGCCGAGCACCAACCTTCCCGTCTTTCTCTGCTCTCTCTCTGATGGGCTTGGGGAGAAACCTCTAGAACAGCTGCTTGCAATCTTGACTGCTCCATGGTTCTCCCAATGTCTGCAGAATTCACCGTGCTGCAGTAGAAGTGGTACCCACAGAGCGAGCCCGTGAGGCACAGGCGTCGTGCCTCTAGGCATCCTCGAGGATGTCCCAAGCAGCTGCTCCAGGTAGGGGTGTTTGCAGGCGTCTGAGCCTGGCAGCCCCTGTCCTATGATCACAGCTCAGAGGAATAACCGCATGGCATCTGGGTGTGGGACTGGTGCCTTCCGTATGGCTTCGTTACAAACTGACTCTGTGACCAGAATGATGAGGGAGTCCTTGTCTCCTCAGAGACAAATAGAAACCTTGCAGATGCTTTTACAGGATTATAAGGGATGTGAATTATAACTGGTGGCAGAAGATTTATGTTTTGGACCTAGTTTAAGTCTTTGGTGCCAAGTGGTATTTTAAAGTCCATCCAACCACTGATCTACCCACCCATTCATCCACCTATCCAACTCCCCTCCCCACTTTCCATCCGTGCATCCACCCACCCACCCAGTCTTTCCTTCCATCCATGCATTACCCACTCACCCACCCATCTACTTGCCATCCCTCCACCCATCTGATCTTTCATCATCTATCCATCCTGCCAGCCAGTCTTGTTGGAGCAGCTACGACATACTGGAGCACGCCTGGCATTTACAGAAATGGTGACGAGTTCAGTCATAGTCCCTGCCCTGGTATACCCTCACCTAGTGTAGTCTGTGTCCAGGGAAATAGAAGATATCCTGGTCTCTATCAGAAAGAAGTCTCTCAATCTGCTCAAGTAGAAATGTGAATTTTAGTTGTTAAAAGAGCCATGCACAAGAAAGAAAGAAAGAGAGAGAGAGAAAGAAAATGCACCAAACCAGTCTGATTCTCTCAAATGCTTGGGAAAGTAGGTGATGCAGTGAGCTTTGTCGTTTGCAGAACGCCAATGCTGGGCATAAATATCTGTGCTAAAGCGACTGGATCCTTGGGGCCCCGTTCCATTCAGCTGGGGCAGAAGCTGCAGGTGGGACAGGCACTTGGGAAGGGAAGGGTACAGAGGCCTCCTGCTGTGGAGGGAGGGAGGAACGGGGGAATAAGTCCCTGGGACCAGGAACCTGCAGGTTAACAAACTGACTTTGTGCTTTGGCCTAGGCTGCACATCTGGGAGTTTGAATCTTGCTTTTGCTGTGCACAACCTGTGTGGCCCAGGCAAGTTTCTTACCCAGCTGCATCTCAGTTTTGTCATCTGTAAAATAGAACTAATACGGTCTTGCAGGAGTGTGGATGGACTAAGTACAAACTGAGCACTGAGGTGCCTGGTACATTCTGATTTGTTCTGCATGCATAAATGTTGAAAACAACTAAGTTCAGATCTGGTTGGGTTGAGGATATCATTCAGCTTAAAAAAAAAAAAAAAGAAAGAAAGAAAGAAAGAAAAGAAAGTACTTCCTGGGCTTGATTCCATTTGGAACTCAGCAGATGGGCACAGATTGTCCCAGCTCTTGGCACCTGCTCTGCGGAAGGCTGCGCTGCAAAGGGTCTGAGAACGCTGCCAGCTCAGAGCCCTGGGCTCAGCAGAGGCGGGAGAGCCGCACAGGCTGGCATGGGCCTGGCCCGGTCGTCAGGTAGTGGAGGCCATCACAGAGCGTGTTATTTCTTGGCTCTGTGGACTGGCAGCTCCAGCACCAGTGGTAGTTATGCCTGCCAGTGGGGGACAGCAGCAGGATTGGAATGGGACCGCGTCCTCCACAGCGGGGCAGGTGCTGGGCACAGATCTGCCGCGAGCCTTCTCTCCGGGGTTGGGGGTGGCAGCAGCAGGCCCAATCTGTGGCCAGTGGCGGCAGGGGTGGGGCGGAGACAGCTTCTGAGAATGAACACACTGCACCGGGGGCGTGTTCTCTGCAGAAAAGCGGTGCCCCAGGCCCTGGGGAGACAGAGTGTCTGAGAGCTCACTGGGGTCCCAGCTCCCTCTCTCTATGCCTTGGGCAGCTCCCCTGACCTCCCTGGGCCTCCTTCAGTCCTCTTGTCTGTAAAACAGGACACAAGCAGGTTGTTGGCGAATCGCCAGCTGCCTCCTGGAAAGTGCACAGCAGGGCTGATCCCCCTCCTTCTCTGAGACCGGAACCCTGTTTGTGTCTACAGTCAGGGGGAGAAACAGGGTCAGGAGGAAGAAGAGGCCAGTGCCATCCGAGGCCCTGTGGCCAGCAGAGGGTGGGGATGGCCTGCCTCTCACGAGATGGGAGGGAGCCCGCAGAGCAGCCAGGAGGCAGCTACAGCACCACAGTCCTGAACTGGGCCCCGGAGCATCAGCCTCAGCTCCTGGAACCTTCCATAAGGTCCTTCTAAGTCGAGACCATGGATGTCACAATCCAGCTCTCAAAGGAGTCGTGGTTAGCGCCCGTGGGGCTGCCCACTTGGATGGGAACTGCCCTGCCTCGGGTTCCCGTGGGCCAGCCTGCCCGGAGAAGTGGACCCTTGGGCGCCCCTCATGCACCCCATGCCTTTGGCCTGTGGAGGCTTGTCCAAGACCAAAAGTGACCAGGCTGGTGAGCGGGCCGCTGGATGAGGGGAGTGGGCAGGAGCACAGTTTCATCCACCTCCCCTCTCCTGACCCGCCACAAACATGGGGCCGGTGTCCTGCAATCCAGGAGAGGCCACCCTGGGCCACAGGAGCAGGGACGACTGCCTGAGCCTGGTCGTGGCCTAAACTCGTGGTTAAGCGAAAGCAGTGCATGCCGGAGTGGGTTGTGAGCACCAGCCAGCAAGAAGCCGCCGAGAATGTTCTTTGTTATTTCCAGAGCGGTGAGGAGGAGGACGCTGAGGAAAAAATTTGGTGTCCGCGAGTGGCTCTAAGGGTTCCCAGAACCTTTGCTGCACTTGACCTGGAGGGTTTCCTAGTGAAGGGGCCACTTCAGTGATGGAAGAAGAGAAAGCATTTGTGGGGCTAGTTCAGGCCAGGCTAGAGCTGGAGGCTGGCAACTGAGCCCAGGGAGAAGGGAAGTGGGCATTCGGGCCCTGGGAAGGGACCAGACACCCACCTGTTGTATTCCCCGGCCTCTGAGCTGCAGACCAATTTCTACTCCCATCATGGCTCACCCAGCAGCCCCCAAGGCTTCCTTCTTCCCTGTTTCCTCCTACCCCGCCCTGTTGCCATGGCTGCACACACACACACACACACACACACACACACCCCACAGAGAGCCATGGTGGAAACCACCCCAGCATTTCTCAGCAGCCCTGCCCCAAGGCCATGGTAGCAGTGTGGCCAGCTTCTGCTCCCAGCCTCCTCTGGGGAACCACAGCTCCCTCCTGGCACAGGCACCGGGCACACCAGCCCTGAGGACCCCTGAGAGGACGTCCTCCCTGCTGTCTGCCTGGGGCCCCGGTCATCAGGAGGAGGATGGCACTGCTGTCCTCTCTCCTGTTCCCATGCTTCTGACCTAATTAATGACGGGTTCTGAGCCCCCTCCCCCTCCCCCTAGACACACATCCAGAGGCACTGTTCTCACAGGGCCATGTAGGGTGCACTCGAGTGTCACTCTCTGTGGTGAGGTGGGGGACAGCTATACAACACCTGGTGCTTAGGGCCTGGCCTCTCCTGTGACAGGAGTCAGGAATGAGGGCTGCAGAGACAGATGGGCTTGGGAGGAGCCACAAGGTACCATGTTGACAGAGGGAACCACACCGTGACCAAAGACAGGCCCCAGTGCTGATGGGGAGCTCCGTGTGGCTGGAGAGGGGACGTGGGCCAGGTGCGCAGCCACAGAAGGGACTGGGGTTTTATTCTGAGCAGTGGTGGGCGAGCTCACCCTCCCCCGAGACACCAGCTCTGTGCAGTGGTTCCCCGGGCTCTGGAGGTGCCCGGGCTTCCCACGGCTCTGAGCCGCCTCTGTAGATGCCTGGCCCTGCCCCTTCCATCTGGACCTCTCCCTCCCTGCCTGAGTCCTAGGTCCCATCCCACGGGGCTAGCCCTGCTGCTGCCTCCCCTCCCCTCTGCTGCCTGGGGGAGGAATTGGGGGGGCGTGGCCAGGGGCAGGGCCAGGCTCCTGTTCCTGCCGGGCTCAGTGAGCCAGCCCCTGCCCAGCTTCTCCCCAACCCCGCCCCATCTCCTCCCTCTCCAGCTTGGTGGCTGTGGGGGTGGATTTCACTGTGAGGGAGGGGCTCTCTTAGCACTCCTCCCTCCTCACCTGCCCTCTCTTAACCCTTTGGGGCCTCTGACCTGCTCCTGTCCAAGGCTGATTCCAGGGCTCAGGCTTTCTGGGCCTTTCCTGGCATTCTTGACACCTCCTGCTGGGCTTGTCCGTGTCCACAGGGCAGTGGGTGGCACCCGTTGGTTGTGGTGGGAGAAACAGCCCTCAGAACTACTGGCTACAGGTCTGCTTCCCTGCCTGAAATACTCCCCAGGCTGAGTCACCTCCTTGGGTTCCTGCTGGCACTTTGGCTTCCAGAGGCTTCTGCAGGAATGCACTTGAGCCCTGCACTGCCAGATACACTCAGAGTCTGCAGGCCTGAGGCTTCGGGGCTTCTGCCTCTGCAGCCACTTAGCTTGGGGAGGGGGAGAGAGTGGCCCTGAGGACCACCTGGTGGGCAGGAAGGAGGTGAGGGCCTGCTGAGGGACACCCAGGGTTTAAGGGTGTCCAATTGTGCTGCAGACGAGTGCTTGGTGCCAAGGGCATTGTGTGGGGAAGCAGAGAGGCGTAGACAGCAAGAGCAATGCTGGACAGAGACCCATTCGGAGGACAGGAGAGGAGCCCAGCTTTGCCTCAGCTCAGCACAGCTCCTGAGGGTGCTGGCGGATTTACAGGGTGGGAGTGGTTTCAGGCCCCACATGCTCTCAGCCTGGTTAGTGCACAGGCACCCCCATGGCTCTTGCCTCTGGTCAGCTGCTCCCTCTGTGCCCTGTCTCTCCTGCCCCTGACCTGAGAGCTGCCCCAGTCATGGAAGTGGGCCTGGGGAAGACCATGTGCCATGGCCACAGAACCAGAGGGTGTCGTGCCACGGTGAGGGGTTTCCTCTCGGGATCGTGCAGAATCACCCACACATGAAGCACACTTACACTTTCCCCACCCTCCCCACCCTGTGCAGCCTTCTGGTGACACTGTGTGCCAGCGAGGAAGCCCTGGAGTGTGGGGCCAGAGACGAGAGTCGTGAGGGTTGGAAGGGGTGGGGATGACAGGGTCGTTGTCAAAGGGATTTGGGGGTGAAGAAGGAGAGAAGAGGGCACTGAGGACCACAGCATGACCTGACAAGATTCCCATCTGATCGAAGCTCTTGCTGGAACCACAGGGACTTGCAGACACACAAGGAGCCAATCCCCCAAGACCATTGCCTGTGCACAGTGCTGTCCCATAGCGGGTTAAGCCACAGCCTGAAATGCCGACATCCCACATGGGCACCAGTTTGAGACCTGGCTGCACCACTTCTGATCCAGCTCCCTGCTAATGTGCCTGGGAAAGCAGAAGATGGCCTAAGTGCTTGGGCCCCTGCACCCACATGGGAGACCTGGAAGAAGCTCTGGGCTTCTGGCTTCGACCAAGCACCAGCCACTGGGGCCATTTAGAGAGTGAACAAGTAGTAAGTGGAAGATCTCTGTAACTCTGCCTTTCAAATAAATAAAAAATAAGTCTTTAAAAAAACAAATGCCGGAGAAGGGCTGAGACTCGCTGGATGAGAGTAAAGAACACAACAGCTTTTGCAAGGCCTGGTCCTGGCTTCAGTGGTCGGAGGGCGGAAGTGCTGAGAGCCGTGACTGCACATCCTATGGGGGGAACACAGGACTCCCGGGCGACGGCAGCACGGGCTGCATTTGGGTGAAGGGTGTGGTCGCGGCACTGCGCCTGCGACCTTTCTGGAGATCAGACTGCAGAGTAACAGGTGGAATGCCGGGAGCTTGTGCCCTCAGAACTGCTCCTAGGCCCCAGGCTGGGCTAAAGGGGAGGCTTCTGCATCCAGAGAAGGTCTCTGTGGGAATGTGTGAAGTCTACTTCTAGAAACATGGCCACTGGCCTGGCCTGGGGCTTACGTTCTACCCTGACTCCCTTCCAAACCATGTTCTCCCCCGCAACAGGCAACTCGGGACGTGGTGCTGAGCCGGGCGCCTGAGCAGGAGAAGGACCGCACGGCCAGCTTGCACAACGCCGCGGCCATCTACGACCTCCTGAGCATCACGCTGGGCCGGAGGGGCCAGTATGCCATGCTGTCCGAGGTACGCTGCCCGTGAGGCAGGCGGAGCCGCCCCCCGCCAGGCAGCTCTGCCGCTTGCTGGCCCTGTGCCCCCGTCAAGGTGTAGGAGCCTCAGGTTCTGCACGTGTGAAGGGGGCGTCATCAGGAACCCACCCCACAGGGCTGTTGGGAGGAGTCACTGAGCTCCCGGGAGTAAGATGCTGAGACCAGTGCCACACACAGTAGTGAGTGTTCACTGCTATTTCTACTGCATGTATGCATTGTGGAAGCGTGTTCACAAATCTTTCTACGTCCACTCTTTATCACGGCCCTATTCATTCACGTGTGCTGGAGGGTCAGAGAAGGTGAAACACTTGTGTAGGGCCACACAGCATGCCAGTGGCAGGGACTGAGTGACCCCTGGGTTTCCATCAGGAGCTAAGTTTGGGCCCCCTGCACCCTCCCAAGGGCAGTGGCTTGGACAGTGGTTACCCACAATGGGGCTGGGTTGGCTGGGCTGGGGGGACCATGCAGAACCGACTGTCTGCCCCTCCACAGTGCCTGGAGCGAGCCATGAAGTTTGCATTTGGAGAATTCCACCTTTGGTACCAAGTGGCCCTCTCCATGGTGGCTTGTGGGAAGGTAAGGCTGGGTGCTGGGGTGCACACTCACCCTCAGGGCTCCGCTCTCCTCTAGACGCTCCCAGCCTGGGCTGAGGGGCTTTCCTGGAGCCAGGGGCTTGGGGAGAAGACAGGGCTGGGGGCCTTGGCCCGTTACCCAGCTGCTGGTCTGGGTCTTCAGGAGAGCGGGGGACAGGGGGAGGGCCCGCAGACACCTGATGTGCAGTTCCAGTGTGCCGAGTGGCCTGTGAGAGCTTCTCCCTGAGTGTGTGGGTGTGCACGGGGGCCTTGTAGCACTGCTGGGGGGGGGCAGTGGGTGTGCCTGCCTGAGACGGGCACCTGGGCTGGCTCCAGGCGAGGGGAGTGCTGTTCCATTTGGGCCGCAACTCACAGCAAATTGGAAACTTGCCTGGGAGGGTGCAGTACAGCAGGCAGCACCCACAGGGGAGTGTGCAGGGAGAGCCGTGTGTGCATGTGGCCGGGGCACCTGGCTGGGAGCAGGGCTGGGGGGGGCGGGGCATGATGCTCCGAGCAGGGGGCGCCTGATTGGCATTGGCTCGAAGGCCTCCCCACCTGGGTGCCAGCACCCCTGGTTTTGCCACAGACCCGAATTACGCTTATGTAAGCTTCTATTTTAAGCAGTGACACGAAAGGAAAACCTTTCCGGAGCTGGGGGCTGGGGGTGTCAGGGCTGAGGATGCTCCACGCGCAGGAAGTCAGGTGGCATGAGCTTACAGATCGTGCCGAGGGCTGTAAATACCCAGAACCCTTTCATGGCGCTGAGGGAATTCCTCGCCCCCTGGCCCATCTGTGCCACGTTCCATTTCTAGCCCCGCAGCCGTCCCTGAGGGGGGCCTCCCAGCCTGCCAGCACCTCCTCCACGCATGAGGTCTGTGCCAGCCAGCACAGGGCCTCGGTGGCAAGGCATGCCAGGGCCTTGCAGGAGGGGGGAGAAGAGCAGGTGCAGCAGCCTGGCTGGCAGAATGGGGCGGGGAGAGACAGCAGAGACCAGTGGGATCCCTCTGCTGGGTGCTTGTCTTCTCAGACCCCCGCCACTGCCACCTCCCCCAGCATTGTGGTCCAGTGTGATCTGTTGGCTCCACGCTCAGCAGGGTCTTATCAAGGCCCAGGGAGACTGGGGTGAGGCTCCAGCCCTCCAAGAGTTAGGGATTGAGAGAAACCTTCCTAGGAAATGGCAGGGGAGGTGGGTGAGCAGAGGCCAGCAGGAGGGGGCAGCGTGCCTGGCATGCCTCAGGTACAGGCACTGGAAAGATGTGTCCTCGTGGCTGGGGCTTTAGGGACAGGGTGGGAGGAGCCTCTGGTGCCTACATAGTCTGGGCAGACAGCTCACAGTGGCAGGGGCAGCTTCTTCCTGCCCGCTGGCAGCAGAGAAGGCATCCCTAGCAGTAGTGAGCAGGGACTGGGAGAGGTCTGGGGCCAGAGCAGGGGCTGCCTCCCTCTGTGGGTCCTGGACCCTTTGCAGAAGCTGAGGCAAGCTGGGGACCACCCCTCTTCAGAAAGATGAACTGTGTATGAATGTTAGTGTTGATTCCTGAGGGAGCTCCTGGAAGCCCCCTAGGCTCAGGAGAAGACACCTCCATACACTGGGAGGTAAGAGGTCTTCCATGTCCCTCCTGAGAAGCAGCTGAGCGTGGTCCCGGCATCCAGGGAGCTGGTTTCCTGGATGGGCACAGGAATGGCTTACAGGCAAGGAACAGTTGGGGCGATCGGTGAACTCCCTGTGCATGAGGCTGCGTGGGAGGGAAACTCAGGGTCACACCCACCCATGTATTGGTGCAGCAGGTCATTCTAGAAAGTATTCTCCACCCCCTTGGTGTCCCAGGCAGCCCTGCTAGGTGGCTGGACCCTGCCTTTGCAAAGAGCCTGAAGTAGGAATCAAGGCTGTGGACCTGTGATTGTGCCCGGAAGGCCTTCCAGAAGGTGAGGCCGGGCAGATATAAATACACCTGGCACTGGGGCCTGCAGTAAAAGCGGATGAGTTCTGCGGCGTGATTTAGGTCGTTCCTTCTCTCCGTCTCCACGTGGCAACTGCATTGGCTGCGTTGCTAGGTAACCAGCACGACAGGAAAAAAAAAAGAAAAAAAAAGCCAGGGCTGCTCCCAGCGCAGAGTCCTCAGATGGCTCCTTAAATAGCAGCGGATTCTGGTCTGCATGGGGGTGGAATGTGGAGGGTCAGGTTAGAGAATCCCGTATATCACCCGTTTCAGGCCCACGGAGATCAGCAGAGGTGAAGCCTGCATGGCTGGGTGTGCTGGGAGGGAGGCGCCCGGAGTGGCATTCCCAGGAGAGGGTCCTGGCCAGAGGGGCGTGGCCTGACAGCCCCTCCCAGCTCCCCCCGCAGCCCCTGGGCCGGGCAGTCTTGCAGTCTCTGTGCCTGCAAGAGCTGTCATTTCAGCACCCTCTGCTGCTTGGCCTCCTGCTCTCTTGGTTCCAGGGCGTGGTGGCATTGGTCCTCTCTTCCCAGCCTTCCTATGGGCTTGTTAAGGGATGGAGCTACGGCCTCGTGCCCTGGCCATGGTGACTGCACAGCCCCTCGCCAGCACCAGGCCCTGGATCAAGACCCCTGCATTTGGCCTCATGGGAGTGAGGCAGAGCCCAGGGAAGCCTGGCCCAGCTGGGTTGAGGAAAGCTCTCCCCTAGATGGCAGGGACAGGCAGGGTCAACTGGAGAGAGGTGGAGGCTCTGGGGTGGGCACAGACAGTGGATGCCAGCTCTGCACCTGCCAGTCTCGAGTTGCTCACGCCCAGCCATGGACAGGCGAGCCTCCCTGAGCCCCCTGTTCCCAGGGGCACCCTCAGAGTTGCTGGGGAGGGTGAGGGGTCATTAATGCTTGGGACCCTGGCTCCCAATAGGGCCCCAGTGCCTGGGAATTGTCCTAGTGAGGCATACATGCACCGGTCTACCTGGGGGGCATACCGGTACGGGGTGTATGCACTGGGAGAGACAGCCCTGTTTCCTGAAGGAGCTGAACTCAGAAGTTCCCAGCCCCAAATGTGTGTTGGGATGGCGGGGGGGAGGGTGACAGGGAGACAGGCAGGCCTCCTCTCTGACCACGGGAGCCACACCAAGGCGATGAAGGGCTGTGGTTAGGGGCTCTGGCGCCAGCTCAGACACTTCTGGGCTGCGTGGTTCTGGACACACTGCGTCACGTCTCCACGTCTCAGTTTCCTCATCTGTAAAGTGGAGTCTTCGTGCCTGCCTCAGGGTGCGTGGTGAAAAGTGGGCCTTCTCTGCGAAGGTCTGAGAGCAGACCCCCTGCCTCTGCAGGCCACCCAGCTTGCTGTAGCCATTCCACTCAGCCGTCGTGTCATGCCCACGAAACAGCCACGCACAGCACAGGAATGAGTGGCTGTGGTTGGGGTCCAATAAAGCCTTATTTATAAAATTGGGCTGGCGGCCAGATTTGGCTGTGGGCCGTGCTCTGCTGGTCCCTGACCTAGAACGGTGCCTGGCACTCAGTTACATCTGGATGGGCTCAGCTGCTCTTCGGCCCAGGAGTGCTGCTGGCGATGTCCCAGATTTATTTATTTGAAGGGCATAGTGAAAGAGAAAAGAGAGAGATCTCTCTGTCACCCAGATACATGCAACCGCTAAGGCTGGGTCAGGCCAAAGCCAGGAACCTGGAACTCCATCCTGGTCTCCCACGTGGGTGCAGGGACCCAAGCACCTGGGCCTTCTTCTGCTACCTTCTCAGGTGCACTAGCAGGGAGCTGGATTGGAAGCAGAGCAGCCAGGATCCAAACCTGTGCTCTGAAATGGAATGCCAGTGTCACAGCAGAGACCCAATACCATGTGCCGCGACACTGGCCCCTGTGTCCCTACTTAGAGAGTCCCCTTGTTCCTCTCAGCATGTCCGTGGCTTAGCTTTGAGTTCCTTTTCGAGAGCTTCCTTCTGCTCTCATGTTGGCTGTTGTCACGTTTGCAAAAGGCAGGGGTCTCAGCCTCCCTCTCCAGATGAGGAAACTGAGGCCCTGGGCTCCTCCCTCTGCACCCTCCTCCGAGCTCTCAGCCCTGATTGTACAGGGACCCCTGGCTGTGGGCAGGAGCCACCCTGGTCTGTCGGGACCCAGGGCTGTGGTGATGGTGTTGCCTGCTCTTCCTTCTGCAGTCGGCCCACGCTGTGTCGCTGCTGCGGGAGTGCGTGAAGCTGCGGCCCTCCGACCCCACCGTGCCCCTGATGGCTGCCAAGGTCTGCATCGGGCCCCTGCACTGGGTGAGTGAGCAGCGGGATCGTCTTGGGCTTTCAAAATGCCAGTCAGCATCCTGAGGCTCCTCTCTCCTCAGAGCAACACGGGCCACACACAGCGTCCTCTCCATGTGGTGGCCAGCGGCTCCTACCCACATCTCTTCTACTACGGGCCGCAGAGCCCTCTGTGTGCAGGAACCCCAAAGTGGGTGCTTTGCCTGGAGATGGCTCTCCCCAACTTCCTATAGCCCTGATACTCCAGCCCACAAGGCTCCAGGGCCTGGGTCTGGGGCACCCAGCAGGTACTTCATAATTAACAGTTCCTACAGCTCCTCCTGCCACTGTCCCCAACTTGGGTGTCCAAGAGACAGACAGCAGCCCTGGGCACGGGACAGCCCACCTCCTTATCCTTCCCTCCCGTGGGCCCTGCCTCGTCCATCCCGAGCCTCACCTTCCCTCCACAGCAGGAGGCCGCTCCCCAACACAAGGGGTGGGGGGAGCCGCATCTCCCCAGGCCCTATACGCCTGGCAGGTGCTGGGGGAGGGGCGAGGGAAGCCTGGCTTCAGACCCCTGGGCTTTGTGCTGTTGCTCTGGCGGGGCCAAGAACACACGACCCGGCCCACCACACACTCTGGGCTCTGGGAAGGGGCAGTGTGGCCAGGCAGTGAAGAGCTTCCCTGGTTTCCCACTGTTTGGTCTTGAATAGAGCCCAGATCCTCACTGTGCCTCAGTCTCCTCCTCTGTAGGATGGAAAGAGCAACAATTTCCAGCTCAGATGTGTTGTGAAGGAATAAAGTCTGCAGAGGGCTTCCTGGAGGAGGCAGCCTTGGCGTGGGTTCAGAGGGCATCGGTCACAGCTTGCTTTCCTCAGCCCTAAGAGTATGGGGAACTCTCTCTTGCTCCTCCACTCTTGGGCGACGCTGCTGCATCTTGTTTCCTATAGCTACGGGCCCTCATTGGCAAGCACACGGGTGTGGGTGGCATGCTGGTGCGGGGGGGAGGGGGGGGCCTGGGCTGGCACCTGCCACAGAGGCTGATGGTGGGAGCCAGAGGAGGCAGGAGGGTGGGACCCTCAGCCGCTAGCTCAGACCCTGCCCCTTCCCAGGGCTGCTGAGAGGGACCTCCAGCTCATCACGGGGCTAAAACCCCAAATACCCACCTATCTGGGGGCGGGCATCTGTGCTCCAAAAGGCTGCCAGCTCGGAGGCACTGTGGGTCCACCCAGCCGCTGGCCACCCTTGCCAGGAAGCCCTAAATTTAGGTCTTCCCACCCTGGAGGAGCCGCTTCCTCAGCAGCATAATTACAGTAATCGTGTGCGTGCAGATTACATGGTAATAAAATTAGGCCCAAATCAGTCCAAATTGAAATCAGATGAGTTAGGAGCAAAGTCATCAATGACAACATAAATAGAAAAGCCCAGAAGGAGGCTTCAACGGGCAGACTGGCCCTCAGGATCCAGGAGGAGGGGTGCTCTTTCACCTCCAGGCAGCTATGTGTATGGGTTGAGGGGCTGCTGGGAGCCAGGGTTTGAATCAGGCACGAGCCAGAGCCAGGCCCTGCTGGTGGGCCAGGGGCAGGCACCTCTGGGCTGGAGGCCTCTCCCGCTGTGTGTCCACAGCCCTGTGTATTCCAGCCCCAACACGGGTCACTTGTCCACGTTTCTGGAGGGCAGGGACTGTCTCCCTCTCCTCTGAATCCTAGCCTACAGTTGAGTGTCCCAACACAGAGAGGCCTGCATGCAGCCGCTGTTACTTGTCCCGTGAAATGACACACAGCCTGGCTTGCCAGGTAGGGGCAGGGTGGGAGATGAGACTCTCCGTGTGCTCTGCAGGTAACTGGCGCTGGCAGGGTTGGCTTGGAGCGGAGAGCAGGCTGTGGGGTGGCCAAGGGCAACCTGTTCCCCTGGGAAGCCTGGAGGGCGGCAGCCCAGCTGTCTGTTCTCAAGGCCTACTGGCAGGAGGGAGCTGTTCATGCATGAGATGGGGCCTGGGGCCTGGAAGGCATCTGACACCCTATCTGTCTCCAGCCTTTGCATCTTTCCTGGCTCATGTCGGCCCCATCAGGCCCAGCCGTCGCCACGCCAAGCCCTGTGAGCAGGGAACAGAAATCTGGGGGCGGGCAGTTTGGCCTGGGTTGTAGGAGGGGAGGCTGAAACTGGGACATTTGAAAAACGAGTTGTGCTGGGTGCAACTAGACCAGGTGGCCATGTGCCCGGGGGCAGAGCACCTGCTGTCCTCGCGTTTTATCCTTGTGCCCAGGGGGAGTGTGGGATGCCCCAAGCTGAGCCTGGGCCTGAGTTAGGCTGGCCGCTGGCAGGGGGCTGGACAGAGGGGTTCGTGAGGGGCCATGTGTTGGCTGACTGCGGGGCCGGGAGTAGCTGGGGTAGGGCTGCGGTGGGAGAGCTCTGGCCCTGAGGCCTAGCTTGAGACTTCCCAGGGTGGGCAAGGCTTCCCCAGGCTCTAAGCTGGTGACAGGTTGACAGTGAAGCCAGAGAGCCCTGGGTGGCAGCCTCCTGCCGTGGCGTGGCCGGCGTCCCGCCCAGGTCCCCATCTTTGGAGCAGGAGGAGAGGAAGATGTACAGTTTTTAGTATCCCTCCAAACACAATGGTTAAAAATTCTCTGGATTTGCAAAGTCGAATTTGGACTTCCTTTGGAGGAAGCAGACAGGACAGGGTGTGCATGGTGTCGTGTGTGACACAGACAGGAGCAGGGCGCGTGCTCACCTGTGGAAAGTCAGTGACGCCGTCTCTCACCTCCTTCCTCCGAGAGGGGCTGCAGGTGGGAGTGCAGAGAGCACAGGCTTTGGAGGAGGAGGAGGCTGGGGTCTCCCTCCCCGCCTCCCCACTCACCGGCTGTGGGACTGTGGGGGCAGGCATTTGCCTGCTCTGTGCCTCTGTTTCTGCATCTGTAACCTGCAAGCCTTGGCGCCCACTGTCGCAGGCAGCTGTGGCGACCCCCGATGAGGCGGGCTCCCGCTTGTGTGTGGCAGGTGCCTGGGGACCGCCACAGCTCCTCCAGGACAGCAAGGATGTGGCTTGACTGCCTTCCTGCTCACGTACCAGGGCGGGCAGAGCCAGGAAGATGGAGGCAGGGAGGAAAAGGGGCCGGCTCTCCTGCCGCCCCCTTGCAGGAATCGGAGACCATACCTGCTTCCTCCTGGAAGACAGGAGGGTCCTCAGTAGAGCAGCTCACAGTTGGCCCTGGGTCTGCACGTTAAACCCAGCTCTGCTCGCCCAGAAACAAGCTTCCTCTGCTTCCTAGCAAGAGTGGATGCGGGGCCGGCGCTGTGGCTCACTAGGCTAATCCTCCGCCTTGCAGCGCCAGCACACTGGGTTCTAGTCCCGGTCGGGGCACAGGATTCTGTCCCGGTTGCCCCTCTTCCAGGCCAGCTCTCTGCTGTGGCCAGGGAGTGCAGTGGAGGATGGCCCAAGTGCTTGGGCCCTGCACCCCATAGGAGACCAGGAGAAGCACCTGGCTCCTGCCTTTGGATCAGCGCAATGTGCCAGCCGCGGCGGCCATTGGAGGGTGAACCAACGGCAAAGGAAGACCTTTCTCTCTGTCTCTGTCTCTCACTGTCCACTCTGCCTGTCAAAAAACAACAACAAAAAAAGAGTGGATGCAGGCAACGGCTCCAAGGGCAGAACTTTAGCCCACGCCACAGGGATCAATTGAGGCAACCCTGAGCACGGCACAGGTGAGCCGGGAGCCTGCCTGTATGGGGACCACATTAGGAGAACTGGGCACATCCGGGAACTTGGGAAGTCACAAGAAAATTTTCCTTACTATGGAAAGCCAAAATAAACCACAAGAAGCTAATCCAAACATTGCACCCTTCAGGGTATCCTTGTCCCCCCAGGGCTCAGGGAAGAGAAAAATGAAAAACTGCGGAGGGTGGCATGAAGCTTTGGGGTCAGGAGACCTGGGTAGGTCAGGGGGCTCTGCACTTCCTGGCTGCGTCCCAGGGCGTTTGTGGTGCTGTGCACACACCAGGACGGCTCTTGCTCCCTCTAGAACTGCCCTTGGGGAGTGGAGGAGAACCTCCCCCTGTGTGTTTTGGCAAGGTGAGGCTGCCCTCAGCAGAGGTGTGAGAGCAGTGTGTTGCAGGAAAGGAGGAAGGCTGGGCCTTGAACTCCCTGCCCTGGAAGCACTCGGACAAGTGAGGGGGGCTCAGCGTTGTGACTCCAGCCGATTGTAGCTGCAGCCGCCCAGACCCCGGCCAGAGGAGGAGGTGTGTGGAGCCCGGAAGGGGTCCAGGAGGTGCTAGGCAGGAGGGAAGATACCAAGGACAGGTGCTAGGGTGGAGAGCCGTTACAGGTTGTGAAACAGACCTCTTTCATTAAAAAAAAAAAAAAAAAAGATTCTCAGAGAATAGGGAGGCAAACACCCCCACGCAGTGCCCACAGTAGGGGCGGGTCCAGCATGATGGGCGTGTGTCCTGGACCTTGGATGGACTCAGAGCCTGAACAACCCAGCACAGCAGACTGGGAAAGCTGTAGGGACACCAGCTTGTCCTTGCATAGTGGTCACTCTTCTGTGAACGAGGGTCATTTGATGCCACTTCCTAGTTTGTCAGTCACGGAAGCACATTGGCCACGTTAGGCCGGGACTTCAGGGAAAAAAAAGACCCTGGAAGATAAAGCTAGTTATGTGTGTATGTGTGTGAGTGTCCATGGATTTCATAAATGCGTGTACCAAAATAAAGTCCATTTTCCACAAACTTTTTGAAGCGCGCGCATGCATGCATGCGTGTGCGTGTGTGTGTTTGTATGCCACTGCTACTTCTTTACATTTATGTAAATACTGCTCTGAGCATTCACCTAGACTTACCCCATTCCGTCCCAGCAGCCCTATAAGGGACACACTGTTGTTATCCCCACTTTATAGAAGAGGGAACTGAGGCACAGCAAAACAAAGTGGCTCAGCCAGGGTCCACAGTCCGTAAGTGGCCAGCCGGGGATCTGAGTGCAGGCGGCGTGGCCCTGGCCTCATGGTCGTAGTCTCTGGGCTGCCCTGCCTCTCTGTTCACCAGGCGCTGCTTCCTGGGGCTGCAGCTGAGTCTGGGGTCAGGTGGGACTTCAGTCCTTCCAACAAAGGAGCAAAGTCAAACTCCCAGGGGCCTCAGGATTGTGTGTGTGTCTCTCTCTCTCTCTCTCTCTATATATATATATATATATAATATATATAATTATTTATGTATGTATTTGAAAGAGTTACAGAGAGAGGGAGAAGCAGAGAGAGAGTCTTCCATCCACTGGTTCACTCACCAGATGGCCGCAACAGCCAGGCCGAAGCCAGGAGCCAGAAACTTCTTCCAGGTCTCCCACATGGGTCACCAGGGCCCAACTACTGGGCCATATTCTACTGCTTTCCCAGGCCAGGAGCAGGGAACTGAATCAGAAGTGGAGCAGCTGAGACATGAACTGGTGCCCATATAGGATGCTGGTGTCGTAGGTGCTGGCTGTTAGCTACTACACCACAGCGCTGGTCCCTGGGATTGACTTAGATGAAGGGCAATGGTGTGTTCTAAAGGTTTTCAGTTTTATTGTCATCATTTGCTGTGACAGCATCCCCCTCTCTGGCTGCCAGGTTGGAGCAGTTGTGTATCTGAAGGCTGTGTGCCATTGCATCGGGTGTTGTCACACCTGCTAGAATTAATGACACTCCCTTTTGTGGTCTGTGCAGCGACTGCACATGCAGGAGGCTGGCTTTGTGGTATGGTGACAGAAACAGAAACAGCACTGGCCATGCAGGGAAGTGGCATGCTGAAGCCTGGGGGGTTGCTCTTGCCCTTCTCTGCAGAGTCCTCTGCCCCTTCATTCTGTTTCGCACCTAAGTGGAGGCTCCATCCCAACGCACCTGCCCTGGCTACTGGTCTCCGTCTCAGGATCTCAGGTCCCAGGCTCCAGGGAGAGTGACTCCACTGACCGCCTCCCCCCCCCCCACACACACACACATACCAGTGGTCAGATCACAAGATGCACAAGTGCACAAGGCAGCCCCTCTGCTGCCAGGGACAGGAGGGGGTGCGACAGCCCCAGCCTTGGTGCCAGAAGGCAGCATGGGTTTGAGCCTGGTTCCCCAGGTGACTGGCATCGTGAGCCTGTGCCTAGGGGAGGCACCATGTGTAGGGGCTCCAGAGGCGGATTGGTGCTGGGGGTTTGGATGTGACAGGCTCAGTCCCCACGCCGTGGGCCCGTACCCAGCTCAGCATGGGGGACTCACCTCTGCCCTCTCTAGAAGTGATAGCTCTGTGACACAAACACTGCCACACCGGGCACGTGGATGATGACAGCCCCTGGGTTGGGTGGGAGGGAGGGGGCATCTCACGGAGGCACATGGGCTGGGAGTAAGGCATGACTGAGGCCCCAGCTGTCCCCTGGCTGCCCAGCCGGCTGGACGCTGTGGGTGCCCCAGAGTGTTCGTGAGACTGTGCCCCTCTCTTCCCGTCCATGTCGCACGTGATGATATGTGCCATGTGACCTGCTCTCCTGGCTCCTTTTCCTACTGGAACAATCCTCCTGCTCCCAGGACAGAAAACAGCCCCAGGCCTTTTTCCCCTGAAAGTCATCAGGCGGGGAGTGAGCTCCCAGACAGAGCCAGGGTGGCAGGCTGCCCGCTGCAGGGCTGGCCGGGGCCAGCCAAGCATGTGCTCCAGGGCCCATCCCTGGCTCTCTGCTCTCTGCTGGGCAGGTGGGGGCACAGACCCAGGCCCCCACAGGCTGCACAAGGGAGGGAGTGGGCACAGGCTCTGCGAAACTGGAACTCGGGAAACTGCTCCCTGTGAGAGGTGGTGCCCTGGGGACCCTCAGGGTGGGAACAGGCCCAGGGAGTAGCCGGCTGGCGGAGGGAACAGCAGTGGTTGTGTGGCTGGGACGTGCCACCTGGCCTCTCTGGCCATGCTGCCCACTTGTGAGGAATCGCAGTTCCTGCGTGCTTGTGGCCTGCAGGGTCCCAGGCTGGTGACTGTGCATTGCCTGCCATACCAAGGGCAGCAGAGCCCTGCCCATGACCTCTGACTCTGCTCTTTGCAGCTGGAGGAGGCGGAACGCTTTGCCATGATGGTGATCAGCCGTGGGGAGGAAGCCGGGGAGTTCCTCCCCAAGGGCTACTTGGCGCTGGGGCTCACCTACAGCCTGCAGGCCAGCGATGGTAAGTGCCGGGCCCTCGGAGGCCTCTGCTTGGAGACGATCCATGCTTCCTGACAGCCTTTAGGGTAGCTTGTCCAGCAGAAGCGGTGCCCACCACTACCGCCAGACAGTGTCTACCCCTCGGGGATAGCTGCACACGCGTGTACACACACACCTGTGCCCTGTGCCCTCAATCCCATTGCCACTCTTTTCTCAGCCTGTCCCCACCTGCAGACATGCCCTCCTGTCTCCTCTCCATGGGCCCACTTCTCACAGCAAGGCCCAGCCATGCCTCTGCAGATCTCCAAGGGCCCCTGCTGCTGTCCGTCTGGGTACAGTACTTCAGCCCTCCCTCCCCGCCCGGATCTTCATCGTCACTCTGGTTCTCCCAGACCTGCCTTTACCCCCTTCACACCACTGTGACAGCCTGGGTCTTTTTTCTCTTTCTTTCTTTCTTTCCTTTTTTTTTTTTTTTTTTTTTTTTTTTTTTTTTTTGAGATTTATTTATTTATTTGAAAGGCAGAGTGACAGAAGGAAAGGGAAAGACAGAGAGATCTTCCATCCAAATGGCTGCAACAGCCAGGGCTGGGCCAGGCTGAAGCCAGGAACCTGTAACTCCATCTGGGTCTCCCATGTGAGTGCCAGAGGCCCAGGTACTTGGACCATCTTCTGCTGCTTTCCCAGGCTCATTAGCAGAGAGCTGGATGGGAAGTGGGGCAGCTAGGACCCTAACCAGCACTCTGATATGCTGGCATCGCTGGCATTGCTGGCCACCTGCCTGGCCCACAGTGCTGGACCCCTTCTGGGTCTTTTGCATCCTACTGGACTTGTGGCATTGTGCTGGGAGCACACAATAGGTGCTTAATAGATGCTTGTGCGTGGCTAATGGCTTCCATGTCCGTGACAAGGAGCTGATGCTCTGTGAGGTCACACAGCCAAGCCTGCCAGCTCTGTGTCCCTGTGTCCCCTGCATCCATCAGGCAGCCCCCTGCTTTTGTATCCTTGCAGCCTGAGGCTGTTCCACACCTGGACCAGAAATGGGCCCAGACACTGACCTCCGAGAGGGGGGCTGTGTGCTGGAGCCCACTTTACCCAGCCTCAGAGGCCCTGCACAGCGTGTCTTGTCCAAAGAGGGAGGAAGCCCAGGAGAGAGCCTGGCGCAGCGCCAGTGCCCTGTTCCTCAGCACTGTTGGTCACAGTGTCCTCAGGTGTCAGCGCTAGGGATCAAATGAAGGGGTCGTTTGTCAAAGTGCTTCAGTCAAAATCCCACCCTCCTGGGCCTTTAACCCTGTCCAGACAGCAGTTGCTTCCTATGCTGGGGCACTCTGACAATGCTCACTGCCTGCTTTTCGCCAGCGGAATTCTGATCCCATCTCGGATGGAGCCTGGGCAGTCATTTGGAAGCTTCCCAGGCTGCTCAGCGTGCAGCCAAGGCTAAGAGCACCTGCCCTGCTGCACTTGGCCACCAGGAAGGCACCTGGCTTGGGTTAAAGCAAAGTCTCAAGGGTAAGGAAGCCCAGGAAGGCAGGTGGCCAGGCAGAGGCGCAGCCTTTATCATGAGGCTCAGCATCCCAGGATGGACACACGAGTCGTGCACTCCCAGTAGGCTTGTGCCTTTGAGAGGGTCAGCTTGGCCAGTGACGGAAAAGGCAATGTACTGAAAGGAACCTTCATGGCAAGAACTGCTGGGAGGCCGGGGCCACAGACAGCGTCAGCCAGGGCTGCCAGGCGTGGAGGTTTCTAGACAGGGCCCTGGGGAGGCTTCTCTTTGCAGAGCTGTGTGCCCTGGGGTTGGTGACAGGGCTGAACGCCACCTTGTCAGCCACCTTGATGTCTCAGCCTCCGTCCCGTCTCTTACAGCCACCCTGAAGTCCAAGCAAGACGAATTGCACCGGAAGGCGCTGCAAACACTGGAGAGGTGAGGACGCTCCCATTTGCTGCCTTTGGGGGCGCTGGGCGGCAGCCTCACAGGCACTGGCCTCTGATGATGGGGGCCAGCGGGGACAGGCTTCGGGGCTCTGGCAGGCAGCTGAGCCCTCCCCTTGACTCTAGGCCGCTGGCCCTCCAGACTGGGGGCACCTCCACTGTGAGCCAGGGGCTGGGGCTACAGCAGACACCAGGCTCAGCCTCCAGCCTCGGGGGGTCAGGGCTCCAACATGGCAGCCCCCAGCCCATCACTGTGGTGATAACCATGCAAGGTAAAGCGGGAGCAGCGTTTTGTGTGATGTCCCACCTGTAGCAGGGACTCAAAAATGTTTCCTCTTTCCAGCCCCGCCCCAACAGCTACAGACCTGTCCCCCAGCCCCACGCCAACCCCCAGCCTGGCAGCCCAGAGTCAGGGAGGGAGTGAAGAGCCAGGGGCTGCCCCATCCGCCCCTCCTGTACCCTCTTGTCCTCTAGCCAGCCCCACGTCTTCCCTCTCTGAACCCCTGCGAGTGTCTCGCTCCTTGCCAGCGCTGATGTGGTAGTGTTGTGGCTAAGGCCTGGCCTGGACCCCTTGTGCTAGATTCACTGGGACCTGTGGCACTCAGGGAGGAGGGGGCAGGAGATCCAGTCCCAACTGACCCCTCTGAGCTCTGAGGAATGGGGTCTCTGTCCACAGTGAAGAGGCCACAGCCAGGTGCTCTGAGCAGGGCCTGGCCCCATATGGTATATATTCTCTATACCCCTAATCCTCCTCCTTTGGGGTTTGTCACCTCAGGGCTGCTGTCCCAGATGGGCCCTATCTCCGCTAAGATGTCCCTCTCAGAGCCGCTGTCCCCTGCCTGGGGCTGCCCATGGCCTTCTGCCTGAGCCATCGTCTTCCAGCCAGGCCCTCCTCCAAGCCAAGGCCTAGCACCTAACAGAATTCACTGCCCCTGGGTCTGGTCCTTGGTCCCCAGCATGCTGACGGCCCAAGTCACACGCCGGTGGCTCAGCTCCTGGTGACTGACCTGTCGTTCCCTCTCCACATCCAGAGCCCAGCAGCTGGCGCCCGATGACCCCCAGGTCATCCTCTACGTCTCCCTGCAGCTGGCCCTCGTCCGACAGGTGGGTGGTCACTGTTCCTAACCCCCCAGCTCCCTGGAGGCTGCTGGTCCTCACCTGGCCACTCTGCTTGCCAGCTGTGTGACCCTCTGCCCGTGACTTAACCTCTCTGAGCCTGTTTCCTCTTGTGTCATGGGAGCACCATGGGCCCCTCAGAGGGGCCTGGAGAGGAGAGGTGGAGAGTGGGGGTAGTGCCCATGGGAAGGGGTCGTTCCTGTACCCACACCCCAGAACACCTCCGAGTTGATGAGGGAGCATGACAGCAGTTGTCTGTCTTGCCTCCCACTGACCTTTGCCCCAGGACCGGGGGGTCCGTGTGGTTGTCAAGGGCTGTTTCTGCATGGGCTTTCTGTGTGGCCCGAAGCTTGTGCCTTTGGATACCACGGCGGGCCTCACGTCTGCTGACCACCGTGGCTCCACTGAGAGCACCCCTGTCCCTCCAGGCAGACGCACCTTTCCCTGGTCACTGATTTGTCCCTTCCAAGTGGCTTTGCTCTCCTGCACGACTTGGCCACAGGCAGAAGCTCTTAGGAGGCCTTGACCTGTGTGCACTGACACCCCGGGTATCTCAGGGACAAGCCTCGGGCTCCCTCAGCGCAGGGTAGAAGATGAATGAGCATCGTTGTCCCTTCATTGGCTTTTTTTTTTTTTTTTTTAATAGAGTTACACAGAGAGAGAAGGAAAGAGAGAGAGATCTTCCATCCACTGTTTCACTCCCCAGTTGGCCGCAAAGGCCAGAGCTGTGCCAATCCAAAACCAGGAGCCAGGAGCTTCTTCCAGGTCTCCCACGTGTGTACAGGGGCCCAAGTACTTGGGCCATCTTCTGCTTTCCTAGGCCATAGCAGAGAGCTGGGTCAGAAGTGGAGCAGCCAGGATATGAACTGGCACCCATATGGGATGCCGGCATTGCACTCAGTGGCTTTACCCGCTACACCACAGTGCCGGCCCCAGTAGGTTTTTAACCCTATTGAGAGCATGTGCCTAGTTTGCAGATGAGAAGACAGAATTCAGAAAGGCAAAATCTCAGAGCATGTTAAGCTGCCACCTGCAGTGCTGATAATAGTGGGCACCAGTTCAATTCCCGGCTGCTCCACTTCTGATCCAGCTCTCTACTAATGGCCTGGGAAAGCAGTGGAAGATGGCCTAAGTGCTTGAGCCCCTGAACTCACATGGGAAACCCAGAAGGAGCTCCTGGTTCCTGGCTTCATCCTGGCCCAGCCCCAGCCATTGTGGCCATTTGGGGAATGAACCAGCAGATGGAAGATTCTCTCTTGATCTCTCTCTTTCTTTTTTTTTTTTTTTTTTTTTTTTTTTTTTTTTTTTGACAGGCAGAATGGACAGTGAGAAAAAAAAACAGAAAGGAAGGTCTTCCTTTGCCGTTGGTTCACCCTCCAATGGCCGCCGCGGCCGGCGCGCTGCGGCCGGCGCACCGCGCTGATCCGATGGCAGGAGCCAGGAGCTAGGTGCTTTTCCTGGTCTCCCATGGGGTGCAGGGCCCAAGCACCTGGGCCATCCTCCACTGCACTCCCTGGCCACAGCAGAGAGCTGGCCTGGAAGAGGGGCAACCGGGACAGAATCCGGCTCCCTGACCGGGACTAGAACCCGGTGTGCCGGCGCCGCAAGGCAGAGGATTAGCCTAGTGAGCCAGGGCGCCGGCCTTGATCTCTCTCTTTCTTCTCTTTCTCTCCCTCTCTGTAACTCTGACTTTCAAATAAATAAGTAAGCCTTTAAAAAAAAGAAAAAAGGCAGGAACTCCGGGCACAGAGGCCAGCAAGCAGCAGAGCCGGCTCTAGAACAAATGCATGAGTCTTTCTGCAGAAGCCCACCTGGCGCACACAGCAGGATCTGTCATTCAGACGGCAGGGAGCCGCTGCAAGGCAGGAGTGTGCTGAGCGGGGTTGCAGGAGGCCGACGCTGCCCTGCTGGTCACCAAGCACTGCATAAAGCAGGGGGAGAGCCAGCTGGGAGCTTTGGAAAAGTATTTCCATTGGCCGGGGCCGCAGCTCACTTGGCTAATCCTCTGCCTGCAGGGCCAGCACCCCGGGTTCTAGTCCCGGTTGGGGCGCTGGTTCTGTCCCGGTTGCTCCTCTTCCTGTCCAGCTCTTTGCTGTGACCCGGGAGTGCAGTGGAGGATGGCCCAAGTGCTTGGGTCCCTGCACACACATGGGAGACCAGGAGAAGCACCTGGCTCCTGGCTTTGGATCAATGCAGCGCGCCAGCCGTGGCAGCCACTTGGGGGGTGAACCAACAGAAAAAGGAAGACCTTTCTCTCTGTCTCTCTCTCACTGTCTAACTCTGCCTGTCAAAAATTTTAAAAATAAAAATTAAATTTAAAAAATAAAAAGTATTTCCATTGAGGACTGCCAAAATTCTTCCCCTTTCTGCTGTGGGAAACTGCCAGGCCCCACCAAGGTGGGAGCTGCCCTCCTTGACCCTACCACCCTCCTGGCTGAGCTGTAGCTGGTGGAGGAGAGAGGCAGGCCGGGAGTCTGGGGACCCATCTAGGGAGTGCTGGCTAAGATGGTTTCTCCAGGAAAAGCCGAGTGCCATGAGCCGCTCACATCCCCTTCTGGGCCCAGCTAGGAACAGGGATCCATCCTGCTAGAGGCAGGCAGCGACGGCTGTGTCTTAGCCCTGAAGCAGTCTCCCTGGGGGACGTGCTGGGGAGTGGGTGGACCTCATGAGCCTGTCGCTCCCCCTCTTCGTGGAGGAGCAACACAGGACCCTGCGCTGTTCTCTCGTCTGCTCGGCCCTCCCCGGGTTTGCTGCTGGTTCTTCCCGGGTTGGCTACTATCCCTTCCACCTCCGTGGAAGGGCAGTTCCCCCTGGCCACATTCCCCACTTCCGCAGGGGAGCGGCACACCGCCAGCCGGTTCTCTCGGGGGCTGCACGGGTTCCCTTAGATGTTCCCCATAGATGTTCCTGGTGCATGCCGTCTCTCTCCTCCTTTATAGTCCTCCTCCGCCAATCCCAACTCGGCTGCCCACACGCCGAGTACGCTGCTCTCCAATCAGGAGCAAGTCCTACAGTTAATTGGTTGAACTGGAAGCAGCTGTGCGGAAGCTGTTTACTTCTCTCCCAGCGCCATATTGTGGGAGAGCAGATGCATAGAATAAGTCCTAATTCGAGTAACTTAGTCTAGTCCGGATTGCTCCCCACAGAGCCTGCTCCCACTGACAGATGGGATCCCAGCTGCACATCACAGACACCCTCTGCAGCTGCATCTGGGAGGGTGTCAAGGTTCCCACCTGGAGGGTTGTGAGGAGCAGGAGAAGCGCCTTGCCCTGCTGGGCGTGCCCACAGGGCTCTCAGAGCAGCCGGGCCTGCCCTCTTTCGCACAGGACGCAGAGAAGGGAGCCCAAGCCAGGGGCACTCGGCACCTGCCCTGGGCCAGGGAAAGGCCTTTCCTCCAGGCACTCAGGGGACGCCTGCAGGGGCTTCCCAGACCCTCTGCAGGGAGCTCTGTGACCTTGCATGGTCTGCCTTCATCCTACCTCTCCAGTCTTAGCTCTCTCAAGAACTAGGCTTAACAATTACCTGTTGAAATGAAAACCAAAAGGTGAAACCTGAGACATCACCTTCCCACGGTAGAGACCAGTCACTGCCCCATCCCGGCCCTGCTCTGTGCACCTGCGGCTCCCTGCCTGGCTCCCTGCCTGGGGTCATGCTGCACCCTCTGCCTGGAGCTCCCCCTTTTCATCACCTCCTGTGGAGGTACAGGCAGCCCCTTCCCTCCCCTCTGGGCAGCACTCCCCTGACCCCTCCCAGGTAGTCTCTGCCCGTGGCCAGCTGCCTCCCCTTCCACTGTCACTTGTGCCGGTGTTTGCCCAATGCTCTGTGCTGCACTGTGACCTTGGCCCTCTGTTCCCGCGTGGGACAGCACAGCTCTCATCACCATCCCTGCCCCCCAGTGCCTGAGGCTCACATGAGTGGAGCCTGGGATGCCCTCTCACCAGGCAGCTGGCACTGGAGTCCGGGGGACGGTCCCTAAGCTGGCGGGTTGCCTCTGGCAGATCTCCAGGGCCATGGAGCAGCTGCAGGAGGCCCTGACAGTGTGCCGGGACGACGCCAATGCCCTCCACCTGCTGGCGCTGCTCTTCTCTGCCCAGAAGCACCACCAGCACGCCCTGGACGTCATCAACATGGCCATCACCGAGCACCCCGAGAACTTCAAGTGAGTTCCCTGGAGACGCTGTCGGGCTGGGGGCTGGCCACCTGCTGACACAGGTGGGGAGAGTTGAGGGGGTGAGGACCTGTGACTGGCTGTGACACCCTGCACCAGTGTGGGGTGCAGTGGTGAGGTAGGGCTGCGTGCAGGTGTGCGGCTGTTTCCACCCGCCTTGGGCTCTACGTGAGTTTCATAGGGACCTCAAGGAGAGGATTCTAACCCTGACTGGGCTGGCAGAAGCCAAGGGAGCCAGCCCCCTGCCTCTGAGCAGACCAGCCACCTCCTCTTTGCTGGCAGCTGGGGAGGGTGTTGTCTCTGGCCCGGGTGGTCTTGCTCCCCAACAGCCCTTTGTTATAGCATCAGCCAGATGTGCCGCTTCTTGGAGCAAGGTTCACGGTGCACTTGGCCCAGGCAGTAAGGATGGGGCAGGATTGGGCCTTCCCACTCTCCCCACCTCTCCCTCTTCCCCCACCCCCACCTATGTGCAGAGGATCTGCTGCCACCCAACCAGGACCCCAGGGAGCAAGAGCCTTGTGGGCCCATGGAGGGGACCAGTAGGAGGGCATCTTTAGGTCTCTGCCCTCCTCCTCTCAGGGGCAGGTGACCCTGGGTCTAACAGACTTTGTTTGAATTGTGAGATTCCAGAAGGAAGAGCAGCTGACTCCCACCTGTCCCATCTTGGGTTCTGAAGGAAGGTCATTTAGACCCAGCCCAAGGCTGCCCCGCTGCAGCCAGCCAGGAAGAAGCCTGGGCCCTGGTGACTCACGCTGGCCATGTGAACAGGCTCACAAGGAGCTGAGGACGGTCGTGGGTGCCTCGGTGTCAGCAGGTGACAAGGGAGGCTTCAGGAGTCCCAGCCCAGGATGTCCCTCCCTGGGGGAGGCCTGGGTTTCCACCTGCTGAACCCTAGGCCCTCAGAGGCTCTGGCCTTTCTGTGCCCCTAGCCCTTCAGGGACACTATAGACAGTTTTGCTGGTGGCTTTGTCAGGGTGCTGAGGATGGCTTCCCCCGGGCCAGGGCTTCAGAAGGGTGCAGTTTCCTGAATTGGAACTCTGAGAACTCGCTGAAAAGGGGAGCCCTGGTGAACAGGGCCGAGGGTGGGCAACATCCTGCCCATCAGCCTGGTGTACAGTCCCGTGACCCTGACCTCCACCTGCATCACCCTGACCCTGACCCTGACCCCTCCCGTTCCCCTGTCCTGGCCCAGGTGGGTCCCAGCTGCTCATAGCCATGTGTAAGCAGCGTGCTTGGCCAACTGGATGTAGCCCCTCTCTGTGTGTCAGGGGCAGCCCTGATTCTGAGCCTAGGCTCAGCCTGGGAGTACCCGTTAAGATTTACTTTAAAAGGTGGGGAGCTTAGGGAAGCCTCAGACAGATAAAACTGTGTGTGGACAAGGGATTAGTTACCTGTCTCATAATCCTAAGTACAACACAGCAAGACTGGGTGCTAACGTTCTACTCTTGATTTGGAATGAAAGGGCACAAAAGACAAAGGTTCTTCGCTCTCAGGGCCAGTACCTTGCTTTTCTCCAGACTCGACCCTCCCGCCTGCCAGGCAGAGTCTGCCCCATTGCTGCTGGCATACATGTCACATGTCTGCAGGTGTGCGTGTGTGTGTGTGTGTGTGTGTGTTGTGTGTGGACCTAATTGTCCTTAGGCTTCCGTGGAAACAGAACCATCAAGAAGAAAGGCTTAGACAGCTCAGGTGAGGAGAGGGCAGGGGTCCTTGACACACACACACACACACACACACACCCCTCCAGGTCCAAGTGTGTATGGCAGAAGCCAGTGCTTTCTCCACATGGAGTCTCACGTGGCCACAGAGTGGGGAGCAGGGGGAGCAGGGCTGTTCTGCTGGAAGCCAAGGAAGGAGGTCCACCCCTGCCCCAGCCCCTCCTTCTAGCCACCCCCCCCCAGCTCAGGACCCTCCCCTTGCTGCACCTGGCATCTTGGTGTTCACTTCCTGACTTCCGAGCTGAGTTGCTCTGTGCCCAGCAGAAGCACCCCTCCTGGCCTGTTGCAAACGTGGCTGACCCAAGCTGTGCGAGGTGTGGCTGTGAAGTGGCTCCCGCCCAGTGTGTGGCCCTGCCCCCTTGCTTCCCATGACCTCCGTTGGCCTCCTCCACCTTCCAGGGCGCTGAGCTGGACTAGACAGCTTTCTACCCTTCATGGGCAGTGTGTGTGTCCCTGGCTGCTGCCCTCCCCCCAGCTCATCGTCTTCCTCCTCAGGAAATGCTTCACTCAAAGAGTCCTCCTGGGTCTTGAGCTTGGTGACACCCCCAGGAAGCCCATGAACGGACGTGACCTAGAGCATTCTGTGCACATGTCCAGGGAGATGGCTTTGCGTGGGTTCTCAGAGGGCGCCTAGCCCCCAGCAAGGTCAGGGAGCTGGTGTGGGTTGTGCTGTTTGTCTGTGTGCAGCACAGCTGTGCCCGTGCAGGGAGCAGCCAGAGAACAGTGTCTGCCCTTCTGCAGGCAGAGCGTAAAGGAACAGTCTCCACCATGGGAATAGCTCATCCATGCCGACATCCCAGCGTGACTGCAGGGGCTTCAGAAACTCTGGGGGCTCGGATCAGACAGGAAGCATTCGAGTCCCACCCCCCACGTTCCTCTGCCCCTGTCGCTGCAGGGTGGGGTCTGCCATGGGTTCAGGGACTAGCACGTCCCAAGCCCAGTAGCGCCACACTTTTCCCCAGGGCAGTAGGGCAGAGGGTGAGCAGGGACAGGCTCTTCTTGAGCTCTGCCTACAGGCCCAGGAAGCGCTCTGCTTTCCTGTGAGCTGGCCCCGACAAAGGCTGGCCCCTAACTGGGAAATACATAAGGGATCCTAGCCTCCGTCCAAGAATCAGTCACTGTTGTTCTAAGCCAAACAGAAGAAATATATATATATATAAAACGAGAGTACTTTAAAAAGTTACTGGAAAAACTGAATTAAAAGTTCATTTTGGTGCAAAAGAATTTTTGAAATTCATGCATAGCTTTTTTTCTTTCACGATATGCATTTTCCGTGGACTCTTTGGAGACCCCTCTTCTGCGGCTGGGCCCGGGGGCTGGAGAACCCGTCCACCCCCATCTCTGTTGCATGATTCTAGGGGTATGACTGGGACTCTTTGCAGATAACCCAATACTGTTCCCCACTGATGAAGTCCTGGAGTACAGAAACCCATGGATTAGCAGGAAATGTCACTGAGTCCATTACGGGTCAAGAGCGCTGAAAAATGTCATTGCTCTTGGACTGACACCACGCCTGCTTCTCCAGCGGCTCCCTGCGCTGGGAACAAGCTGCGTGTGTGGCTCCAGCTGTTGCCAAGGAAGTTAATTAAACAGCTGCTCCCGTAAATATCACTGCGGCAAAACAATACAAATCAAACTTTTGGCCCTGATCTCAACCTTCTGGACAAGGTCTAGTACATTCAGCATGATCTCTCTCCGACTAAGCACCTGGCAGGTGGCGTCCTGCTTACCGACTCCCTTTAGAACTTTTTCCCACCCACAGTGGCCCTGGGCGCTTTGGATCCCAGAGCCTGCCCCAGGGAAAGAAGAGGCTGGCAGGCCAGTGTTTGAGTATGGGCCTTGCCTGGCATGGGGGAGGAAGCCGGTGGGTGGGTGGGTAGACCCCTGTCCACATGAGCTTATCCTGACTGAGAACCGCAGTGAGGTCTGCCCTGAGTTGTGTCTGTCACTTGTGCCGCCTACACTGTACCTCCTTTCTGCGCCTCTGTTTTCTCATCTGTCCAGGGACTGACAACACCTGCCCTGTCTCCCTCTGCTTCCATGGTCATTGGGAGACCCAAGCGAGAGAAGGGCACACAGCCAATTGACAGCTGTGTCTAAGGTAGCAGTGTGGAGGGACCTGGAGACGGCCATGGATAGCCCTGGACTGGAGCCTGGGACCCTAGGGGACCGTGCGTGGGCTGGACCTCGAGGTGGAGATGGGGGTTGCCGCCACGAGGCTCAGCCCTGAGCAGAGGTGGGATGCAGTCTCGGAGAAGGGTTTTTAAGCTCTCAGCTGCCCCCAGAGGTCACTGTTCCCATACAGGCAGCTGTTGGATTCCTGGAGCAAAAGCCAGCTTTCCTGGAGGCCAACTTTTGAAAATCCTGCTGAGTTCAGAGATTAGGAAGCAGAGCAAAGATCTTGATTTCTGTGCTGCAGGATGACCTTTGGTTAGTGGCGCTCAGGTTGAAAAAGGCAGAGACGTGATGAGGCAGACACTGGTGGCCCCACAGGGACAGCGTGAACCTGGCACGGTGGGAACCAGACACCCTGGGCGGCTTCCGACTAAGCCGGGACACATGTGCCCGCTGGCCTGTCCCTGGCCGGCCAGCCACAGCCAGGCCTGCAGGGGGCTCAGGGCAGCACCCTCCCTGTGAGGAATGTGGGAGGTCTCATGCAGGTGGAGATGCCGTTCTAGCCCTTCTAGCCCTTTCTTCTCGTTTTGGGTGTGGGAGGCAGCTGGGAGGCCTGAGCAGGGAGTGGGCAGGAATAGGGGTCATGGGATGGGCCACTGATAAGTGTCCCTCCCGAGGCCAGGGGCTCCGCAGGGCAATGGTTTTAGGTAACAGATTCCTCATGCCTTAGTCAGGCCACTTGTAATGAAGGTCACCATGGTAACCAAACAAAGTTCCTGGGCTAGTGATGGGAGCTTTCCAGTTACCAGCCTGTCAGTCACTGCTCCTGCCCCAGGCTGGCAGCTGGCCAGGCTTGCTCTGAGAGCCCAGGCCACACGTAGGGCAGCAGAGGAGCCAGTGGCTTACCTGTGTCTCTGCACAGTGGGCAAGGCTGCCTCCTTCCACCCCTGACATCCTGGTGGCCGGGTCGACCCCCATGGGAGCCTCTGCTGGCCAGCCCTGGTCCTCGGGGGCTTGCGAGGTGCTGGGGGAAGGTGTGGGAGCCTGGAGGCCTCTGCAGCAAGCCATCCACGTGGCCCTGTCCACAGGCAGAGTTCGTGGCCTGTGTCAGCCCCAGGGAACCTAGATGTTCAGGGAAATATGTGAGCTGAAACCTCA